CAAGTCTAACCTCTATCGATAACATTGTAAAAAATAAAAAATATTGACACTTGAAAAAAATTTGTTTTGCCTGTTTTTGAAGTTGTTTTATTTTTCAAAGAAAGCAAACGCCAATTTTATTTTTTGATATGTTGTTAAGCTATAAAAGCACTATATAAACAAATTTTAAAAATTAAAAAACGTTTGGTTCTTCATAGTTAAAAATGGCGCCAAACAAAAGAAGTTTTTCATTTTTTTGACATTTTGAGCTCCGATAGCTCAAAAAATTCAATACAGATTTTAACGAAATTTTGTGATTTGATTGTGACTATAAGGTACTTCTAAAATAACAAAAAATATTTATTTATTTTGCGATAGATTTTGAGCTACGCTGTTTTGAAATCGGTGAAATTTTCAAAAAATTCATTTTTTTCTAGATTTTTTGTTCAAAATATCCTTTGATTCGAGACAATAACATTTATTTTTTTTGTTATTACATTGTTTCACTGATATGCACAAAAAATTTCATCAAGATATGTTGGCTAGTTCAAGAGATATAGCGTTCTACGTAGGTACAAGTTTTGAAAAAAATCGCTCAAAAATTTGAGGATGCTGTCACAAAAATCTTCATAACTTGAAAAATAATTGAAATTTTTTTATAAAAATTTTATTTTGTCGACGAAATACATTGAGGTACTTACTGTTCAAATTTAAAAAAAATCGGAGATGGTCGGGCGTGGACCATGGTTCAAGTTGACAGAGAATGACCCAAAGACATATGTACGTTCTTATTTATTTATTTACTCATTAAATAAAATTTAAACTCATTTTCGAACCGTAGTAACAAAGTCCATGAAGCCACACGGGAAGCAAAAATATCTGAACATTTGAATGCATTCTGAAGCATATGTTTTTCATTTAACACATTTTGAATGGATCACTACACTTCAATGAATGATAGTCATATGAACTTATATAACCAACTCATAGCAAACAATTATGTTTTTAATAGGAATAATTTTGAGATAGATTTATTTTTTTATGTTCGCTCGGCGTCATCCTTCGTTGTTTTGTTAGAATCATAATCATTGTTGATATTGCAATTAAACTAAATAAAATGTCGGCATAAGAAATTTTTCTTCGATGATTTATAGTACAACAATTATCACCGAAGTTAAAAAGTTAAAAGTATGGTCCTATGATGTACTTGTGGTGTTGTTGTTGTTGTTGTTGTTGCTGCTGCTGCTGTTGTTGTTGTTGTCATTGTTGTTGTTTTTGCTGTTGTTGTTTTTGTTGTTGTTGATTCCTCTAAACTTTGGTATAGTTTAATAAACCTTTAACCGTTACGAAAGTTCATCGTTTTGGCGTCGTATAATGTCAATATCATAAAATAAATATGATTAGGACAATTTACGAAAATGCACACGCACATATACAGAAACCTGGAACCCTGGTATGACTAAGAATGAAAATAGCAGTCAACGAATTTAGAGAAGAAAAACAAAAAATTCAAACACGTATGTTAACACACACACACACACACATAAACACGCGCGCGCGCACACATACGCACACGCACATACCGTGTCTAATGTGAACCCTGGTATGACTAACAATGAAAAATCACGGTCAAAGAACAGATAGGAAGAAAACAAAAATATGAACATAGGACTTTTCACACAGATGGAATTGTAAATTTAGTTTGAACTAGTACGACAAAAACAAATAAATACGGACAAAACCTGAGTTTGCAATGTATCTATAGGTTAAACGAAGTTTTTTTGTGAACCTGCACAATTTGATTATTTAATTATAATTTAAAATAATTTCAATTCAATCATTATGGTAACAGTTTTTATTTGCACGTCTTTCTTCATATTATTATTATTATGTCACAATATTCGACTGAGATGGTACAGAAAACGGAAAGAGGATTTGAAAATCAAAGAACCTCCGTGTCTTCCTCATATCCCACTCCTGGGATCGCTGCCATTCATTTCCGATCCCAAAAGATTCTACGTTTATTTTCTAAAAAAATCCAAAAAGATGGGAAACATTATTGGCTTTTATATGGGGCAAAAGTGAACTTTTTTTTCACTTCTACTGGCGATATTCTACGTTATCATTTTATAATTGTTAACGACGCAAAGTTTATTATCATTGTTGATGTTATTTACAGGTACATGGTGATTTTAAATGGTCGGCAGACTATTGAGAAAGCATTCGTTGGAAATGCATTGGCATTCTCCAGTCGGCCAAAATTCTACTTCACCTCTCTCTACAATCCAAACCAGAAAGGTTAGCTAAAATGATGAATACCTCTTCTCATTAAAGCATAATCTTCATTTACTCAGGAATTGCTGATCATCCGTACAATGGAGTGTTCAAAAAATATCACAAAGTTTGTGAAAGTGTTTTCAAAAAGTTTGGATTAGGACAGGAAATGATGAAAGCTAGGGTGAAGGAAGAAGTGGAACATCTCATTCAAAGAATAAAACTTAGAAATGGTCAACCATTCTATCCATCATTAGATGTTACAGCAACTTTTTTCAACGTCATCAGCAGCATTTTGTATGGCAAACGATGGTCCGTTGATGATCCCGAGTTTCTCCTATGCTTCGAGGTCTTAAGGATAACTGCGCGAAATTTATATATAAATTTTTTTCCAGTTTTGAGATTTGTTCCATATTTCAGAAGACAATTTAATGAGTTTGTTGAAGCCATACAAAAATTGTACCAATTTATTGAGAAGAGTATTGATTCAATCGTAAACGGTGGAAACGGCGAAACGTTCAGTAGCAAGTTTGAGGATGAAATGAAACTTCATTCTGATGATTCAAATATGAGCACATTAGTTAATGAAGAGCAGCACAAAATAATGGTAAGGGACTTGATGGTAGCGGGCACAGAAACTTCAGCAAACACGGTTCTCTGGTTTCTCTATTTCATGGCCAATCACCAAGACGTGCAACAGCAGATGAGAGATGAGCTGGATAGAGTCGTCGGTCTCAAGAGATACCCATCACTCGAAGATAAGCCAAAGTTACTCATAACCGAAGCTTGTACATTAGAAGTGATGAGAATTAAAACACTTGCACCAACAGGCTTTCCTCGAATGACTTTGAGGGATGTTGAAGTTGATGGGGTGCTCATTCCCAAAAATGTCACAGTCCTGGCAAATTTGTACAGTGCCCATATGGATCCTGATGTTTGGAATGAACCAGAAAAGTTCAACATTGAAAGATTCCTAAATAAGGACCGAACTGAACTTGTTAACAAAAGTCATGTGATTCCTTTTTCTATCGGTAAGTAAACAAATGTGTCAACATCTAAATTAGTGCTACTTTGATATAAAATTTTAAAATAAAAAAAAAATTTGCCTCTGTTAATTATCTCAGGCAAACGTTCCTGTATTGGAGAACCACTGGCTCGCCAGGAATTGTTTCTCGTGGTTTCCACACTCATTCAGCAGTTTCAAATCCTTCCACCAGAGGGACAGGATATGGTTGATGGGAATAAAAATTTCGGATCTACCGTGTATCCCAGCCGTTTCAACATCAGATTTGTTGAAAGGACCCCCCAACAGGAATAATTTTTGGTCTTTTAAACCAAAATTTTTTATTGAAAATCCACTTTATTTTTCTGTTATAACATTCTTACTCATATGTAGAATTTACACAGATTTGTAAATGCGTTTGTTCACCAAAAATGTGAAAAATGTTTTCGTTAGAAATAAACTTGTTAGAAAGACATCTTCTACATCTGTTTCACAACTAATTATTCAAATACCAAAAAATTGAGCAAAATTTTTACCGTTATTTTATCAACCTGTTATTTATCTTTCGTAACGGTGATCTAGGCATGAACTGCCATGGTATAAAATTGATTTTGAGTTTGCTACTAAAAACAACAAAAAAACTGAATTTATTTTTATTCAGAAGTTGATGAACAAGTTATTTTGTTCATTGACACACGAGTGTGATAGATGATTGTAGAAAAATGGGCACGATTAGACGATATTTGAGACGATGACAATGGCGGAAAGTATTGGAACGTTTTAATGACAAAACAAACAATAGAACCATCATTAATTCCACTAATGAGCGCGCTAAACACAACAAAACAAAATTTAAAACAAAATGCCTAGGCTTTTATCGTTCGAGTTTGGAGAAAATATTTCTCCATTCAAAGGCATGCGTTACAAAGACATTACTCTCTTCCGGTGTTGAAAATAACACTGCAAATTTTCAATGTTCCTTTTATTTGTCATTACCTGTCTAGTTTTTAGAGTGCATAACTAACTGCAAGTGTCTTCTTATGTATTTAAAGTATTATTTTGTATTTCTATTAATTTCGTTCGGTAGTTGCATTTAGTGAACGTTGTAAAAGGTTTATCCGAAATTGGAAAATTATTAACCATTTGAGTGAAATTTGTTCAGAAATTTGAAACATTTTAATGAATAAATTTGTTGAGTTGTTTAAAAAAAAAGTTGGATATGAACCTGAAAATGTGGCTTTTATTATTGATGTCAATGTTTGGAGAAAGTTGCTGCCAAATGATGAAAAGAATGTACAGCAGGGCCCACAGTTATCTCATTGTATCCGGACAAAAAACGCCTGTTTGTTACGATGCGCGGATGATAATGTCAACAAACATTGTCGCGAGATCTTCATCGGAGTGCTTGATCAAATGTTTGGTTCGTTAAAATTTTTTCGTTTTTAAAACGGAGATAAACTATTTGGAAATAAATATTTGAAACGAGCAGTTTTTGAATATCCTCAAAATGTGATTTTCTTTTATTTCGAATTTCGTTTCGTCCAAACTTTTGAGTTTATTTTTACTGAAAATATTTTGATCTCAAAGAAATTAAAATTTAAAAAAAAAAATTGAAGAATAAGAATGTAAAAATTTTAAAAACCAATGATCGAAAGGTTATAACAAAGCAAAACTTGAGAGGCATTAACTTCATGTCTCCAGTGAGATCTTGTTCCTGTGTTCCCAAGCTGAACAACATCTGGTACAATGTGACCGCTGATCTGAATGTTTCATGTCTGGCCTTTGTTTCACGTTGTAAAACATTTAACACAAATTATTTTATTTTCTTCATTATTTTCTCATTCTTTGCTTGGGTATTTTCAGGTAAATATTTTTTAATAACAAAGTCAATTTTTTTACTTTATACAATTTTTCAAATTTTACAAAACATCACAAATTCAGATTGCTCAAACTCGTTTGATTACGTAATCGAAATGCACAAATGTTACTCAATGATCAACAACTTAATGGATTGGTATGCAGCCGGAAGAGCTTGTAACAACGCGTCTGGGCATTTGCTGGCTGCTGATGACCAGTATGAAAATTTAGCTGCACAGCTGTTTTGAAAGGTATGTTCAAGTTTTTTGAAAAGTATTGTCTAATCATGTTTTAATTAGTTCATTCGTATTAGTTCTGCAAATTTCTTATCTAGATCGTCTGTCATGTCCTTTGGTTCCTGGCGATGGTTTCGCCATCTGGACGTCTGGCATTCAACTCAATAAAGCTTCCTCAAGCACTCCGTTCTTTTGGAACACCTTTCCTGGTTTGGCTTTTATTTTCAAAATTTTTCAAAACTATTTTTTTATGTCAAATCATTATATCATTTTTAAATATTTTATGTTTAAAAAATAGAATTATTAATATCTAATTTGAGACACCGCCTACCTTATGTCAATATAGTAAATTTTTTATTTAAAAAGTTATTTAAAATTAGTTAAAAGTTTAACTTAATATGTTAGATTTCATTTAATGCCAAATAGTTTCACATAGACATATAATAAAAGACATTAAACGTAGATTAGTATTGCTTTTGTATGCCAATCTTTTTATCATACCACATCAAATATAAAAACAAAGACACGATCTATTTAGTTCGACAGCAAAATTTTGTGTAACATTCCTTGCTACGAGTCAATCTACCAATAAATTTCTCGGGCTGGAATTCCGGAGTGCTATTTGTTGTAGAATTAAACTTTTCGAAAAAACATTTACGCCTTAGAAATTAATTTTTTATTGGTTTAAAAGCAAAAGTTCAACTTACCATGTTATGTTAGAATGTATTCAATGTTTAGCAATAATGCAAATAGTTATGCCTAGATATAAAAAGAATAATAAACAAAAATATAACGAGAATGTCTCATTATAATGAAACAAATTAGATTTAGTGAATAATTAATGAACATGCTCATAATATTAATAACACACACACACACACACACACATATATATATATATATATATATATATATATATATATATATATACACCACACATATGTTTCCATATTTCAAAAAGTTCACATTAAAAATTAATACATTGTTTGAAACATACGCACGCTCTTGCAATAAAACTTTTTAAAAATTGTTTTGTTTATTACCGCCGTGCATTTATAGTGGAGGAGCATGATGTTGAGGTTGATGTCATTTAGATTCCAATGCCAATGTTAGAAAACGTCATCTCGGATAATAGCTATAATTGTTGTAAAATTATATCTAAAATTTATACTTTAGTATTTAACTTGAAAGAAATTTTTATTTTTTAAACTAAAAACGCAGCTAATCTTAATCACACACAATTATTGTTTCAAGTATTCAAAAAAAAATATATCAAACCTTGGATCATGGAGTATAGAATCATTCAGAAGACAGTGGTGATGTTGTATGAATTAGCTCTAATATTTACAACTCAAACAACGGAAGAAATCTTACTCAGCAGAGAATCGAAATTCGTGAGAGCCTACAGTTTCATATCTACCGGCAACCAGACTACCTTCGTTTGCTATGAGGATGGTGCACCGTACACTCTTCAAGTTGAAGCTTCCTCGCGTATAAACTGCATTCTGAAGTGCCAAGTGATTTCTACACATTATCATTTGCATACGAATCTAAATTTTCAAACTTAATTTATTTATTGGTCTTTATATATTTCTTATTAGTAAATGTTCACACGATTCTAGATTGGAAATATTAATAAAGTACGTATAATTAGATGTTAAACTGCACATCTATGAACGAAATAATTCTTACAAAAATATCTCTAAAAAACTTTTTAAATGCTAAATTGGAACCATTGCTGGAAGTAATTTTTATAATCAATAAAACGTCCAAATATTAACGGATCAGATCTCGTATTCAAAATTTAAATATAGAACGATGTGGCTATATAGAAATAACATTTATAATTTTCATAAAATACGTCAGAAAGCCACGAACAACAACTTGAGAGGCATCAACTACATAGCATCGGAGGCATCTTGCTCCTGTGTTCCGAAGCTAACTGACGTCTGGTACAATGTCACCAGCAGTTTGACTGGAGGATGCGTTTCTTACGTTATTCGCGGTATCAACCAAAAAATAATAATTGTGTGTGATTATTTCTTTTTTTTAGAAAGTTTTGTCAAAATTCATCTACTCGCTAATTCTTAACAATATCTTGATAATTTGAAATAAAATGTAAACACAGATTGTCCAAAACCATTCGAGTACGTTATAGAAGTGCACAGATGTTACCTGCTGGTCAAGCGATTACTCAGTTGGAACGCTTCAATGACCACCTGCAATAACTTATCCTCCCATTCCATGGTCATCAACAATCGACATGAAATGCTGGCCGCCAAACTCTATGCGCTCACCATTGGTTCGTTATTGTTGAATTTTTTTTTTTGCAAATTTCAACTGATAAATAAAAGTTTTTCTGATTTAATATTTGCAATATATCTACATTTATTAATAACTCGTGAGTATCAATTGGTGACGATAGTTTTCTGAACTAATAGAAGTGTCCAACCAGAATACTTTGAAACATTTTGATATTTGGCAACACTTAATACAAATAATTTCTTTTTAGTTCTGACAAAATTTACACGCGCACACAGATCACACATCTTGTATGTTAGCCAATGCCCTCGAAGTTTGGACATCTGGCATACAACAGAACAAGCAATCTTCTACTTCGCCATTCTTCTGGAACACCTTTCCTGGTTTCCTCTCTCTATTTAAATCGTTAGTTTGTTCAATAATTTAAATTATGAATTTGTTTTTCAGGGATATTTTTGCCGTTGAAATATTTTGTCTGGAATGCTGGAGAACCAAATGGTCTGACTGGTTCCAGCTACTGTTTGCTCTATATAATGCAGCCCAATTTTGCCTGTGATGATTTACTATGCAACCAACAGAAATGCGTCCTTTGTGAGGTAGATTTGATTCTCTGAATGTTCCGATGAGTTTTGGCAAAGCATGGACTGCGTTTTTTAGGTGTTTGTTAAGATGTTTATTTTAAATCAAATTTGAAATAGCTTCTGTTTAATTAGAGTTTAAAAATAGAGACAATAATTGAATATTTTGAATTTACCAAAAATCACTTTTATTTTGTTGAGTCCATTATACACATCATGTGGAAGGCTGGGAACTCTTTGCTATCAAATCCGGTAACAACTACTCCGCTTTAATTGTAACATCCTAAAAAATGTTGTAACTTTTTAAAACTAACACTTATGTTACAACGACCTAAATGTCACAATGCTCTCTTAACAATGGAGGACGAATAATTTAGTTTGAATAAAAACTCATGGAAACATCTTATTAGTATTTTTTCAAAATTATTTTAATTAAAAGACACTGAACATTTCCAAATAATATAAAAATTTAAATATTCATTAAGTATGTCATTTCTTTTTCTATGTAGTCCACAGTAGCGTAGCTACTTAGCTAGTGTGTTCTGTGTGAGAATATACATATTTTTTTTATCTATTTATAGCTTGTGTTAATAAAATCAACTTCTTTGTAATGTATATTTAAAAACTCACAAAAAATAATTTTTAATTTCACACGAAAAATTATTAAAAATTGACCAGAAAAAATTACCAGATAGTAATGTCCTCTCTACTGCAAGTATTTGGACGAACTTTTGTAAAAACGTTTTGTGTATTTCCATTCATTAAGCAATTTCTCATTTGTGAATAGCCCTACTTACTGACCAATCAAAATTTAATAATTGCCAGTTCGTCATAATAAGTTACATCCGAGTTTTCATACGTCGTATTACAGTGTCTCGTTAACTCAATTTTTGAATTTTTGAAAACTGCAAGGAAAAATAAATTTAATTATCTCAAAAATATTTTAACGACGTTAATTTTTAAATGCGCAATGCTATTAACAAAAGCAAATAATTTTTTTTTTGTATTTATCCTCTGGCATTTATTCAAAATTAATAATTTTTTCTTTAAAATAGAACTGAATCTTCTTTTTGCACGAACATAGATGCTGTTAAGATTTCATATATTTTTTTTCTAAAACATTTAATTTATGGCTTTCCTTAGTTATGTTTATTTTGCTTCATAGAAACTTTCCTTCTTTTTCCATTTTTTACACTTAAGCAAGAGCACGTGCAATGTTTTTGTAATAAACATTATTTATCTAATTATTTCTATTTTAATAAATTATTGTTTTTATTTATGAAGTGTCGTTTTTTTTGTCAAAATAATTATCAACTGTTTTTAACGTTTAGAAAATAATTAAACTAAACTAATTGGTCAGACAAGCCATTACAACATGGCTAGATCAGGAGTGGGCAAACTTTTTGCTATGGAGGGAAGCATTGAGAACTATTTTGAGAACTATTTTACCTTTGAAGGGCCGCATATGCACTTAAATAGCAAATTTTTTCGACCAGGGTGAAAATTTTTTTAAGATTTGTGGTTCCTTTTTTTGTTCATAACGATCTTTTTTGGCGAACATGGCCTCGCGGGCCCCATAAAATAGCATCGTGGGCCGTAATTTGCCCACCTCTGGTCTAGTTTAGAAAAAAATTATGGAGTTTAATTAAATAACTTTTAAGAGAATTGTGGGATAAGGAGACAATTTGTTCATCACTTTTATTAATTTTTCTAAAAAATCACAAAATGAACAAAAAATTAAGCAACTCGATAAAATATGTTAATCTATCGACCACTAAACACGCGAGCAATAAATGCACATTATTTCACTGAAATAGTAAAAATCATGTTGTACAGAGATGACGAAGACCTCCAGTTTGGAATGGTCACGAGCTAGATGACCAGCACTAATCAGGCTTTTCACTGTTTTAACAACATATATTTTTTCTGTTGCTATTAAGATTCTGCTACTTTTCCAGTCTGCTGCCATGTGGCTAGGTTTCACCTTTCTACTTTTTTTCTCAAATTGACCTCCGTAGACTGAAATACTTGAAATAATTCAATGCTAAAAACAGTGGGACCATCAATAAATACCACGGATAAAAGTATTTCTTACATTCAAATTGGACCTCTTCAGTTATAATTTTTCCTGCAAAATTATTCATTAACATTGAATAGTTATAATTGATAATAATAACCTTAATTAGTAATCATAATAAGTAATAATTATAATGAAAATAATTTTGTCACCTTTTTTCGTATTGTTCTTTGATGAATTTGTCCGTCCAATCGTTACCAAAAGATAACCTCTGCCCGTCAATTGTTTTGACGGGAATTCTATCTTGTTTTCTGTTTATGGACAGAATTGGACGTATGTATGTGGTTGTGTATCCAAATCCAGTGAAGCTATTTTTGTACAATTTCCTTTGCAATACTTTTCAAAGTATTTTTTTACAAAATAGCTATTTTGGCTGATAATGTGGTTCTTTATACATAAGAGTTTGATTATTTCTTGAAATGTCTATTCCGTCTTTTTCTTTCGCAAAATTTTCTTGTCTGAGGTCTGGGAACATTAATTGAGAAAATGATAAACTTTAAACAAAAACCAAATACCAAAACTTTTGTATCATCACACATATTTATCATCACACATCGTATCATTACACTGAAATTTAAATGATAAAACGTAGAATAAAAAAAACGTTAATTTTCAACCATAAACTCCAAAACACACCCACCTTAAAATAATTTCAATTGTGAGAGGTTAGAAAATCAAAGAGGTCAATGTGATGGTTAGGTTGTTTGTAGTGCATTGATGGCAACTCACTTTGAAATGACCAACACGTATTATTTGTTAATATCTGTTGGCAATCTTGTCGAAAGTTTGTGCCCACCACTTCTTTCTCACGCTGACCAACGGTGGTAAGGTCGGCGCGATTGACGACTTTAGCGTTACTGTCAATTTTTCTCGCTATGACGCTTGCCAGTGTTTCACAGCATTTCAACCTTTTTGGCTTCCTTTTTGGTTGAAATTTGTAGTTCGGGTTCATTTTTTTGTGAATTTCTTTTTCAATTTCACTTTTTCTTTGATATTTTTTCTTAACTTCTGGCGTTTCCATTCTCCAGCACTGACCGACCATGGAATGGAGGGTGGCCGGGTTTGAGTAAATTATCCTCAAGTCCTCCCTTTTGTCTTGCAGGTAGAGCATGAATGCATTGAGAGGCCGTTTTATTTTTTTGCCATTACTAACGTTTAATTCAGTTTTTCTGTTTTCCCTCTGTTGTAAATTGTCGTCCTCTATCTTACTTTGGAATTCGTAGACGTCTGCCATCATCTCGTCATTAAAATCCATGAAACTCATCTCAAAATTGTAATAATTTAACTAAAAATAACAAAAACACAAATAAAATTAGATTGAACTGTAAAAGGAATTCTTTTGCTCTGCGGTTGTTTCTTTTATAAATTATCAATCAGAACTTTGTAACATGTTTATTCAAATTTTTTAAAAGAAATTTCTATGCAAATTAATTTTGACAAGTCAAATTTCATGCATCTTCAGTCAAAAATCGAAGTATTCTGTTCAGTACTATCCTGATTGTGATCGTTTTTATTTGCGAAGATATATTTTAATTGAAACTCCTTCCTTTTTCGTGATTAATTAGAATGATGTCGTAAATTTGTGATGAGTCATTAAAATTGGTGTAAAAGTATAATTTGTTAACAATGCTAGGCTCATAACAATTATAAAAATTGTTTTTATTGTAGTCGTATGATGCTCTTATAGGTTAAGATATTTTTTAAACAATTAATTAAGCTATTAATTGACTTTTTAATTAAATTGTACTCTCTCTCTCTCTCTCTCTCTCTCTCTCTCTCTCTCTCTTTATCTATCTATCTATCTATCTATCTATCCCTCTCTATCTATCTATCTCTTTCTTTCTCTCAATGAAACACACAGGAAACCATAATTCGTCAATGAAAGATTATATCTGTTTGAAAATTTTGAGATATATGCTGCAGTATTTGCTTAAAAACTTGATCGCAAAAATTTGCAGTTTGACTATAGTCTGAGATTGTCTGAAACAGTAGAGAAATTTGAGTCAGTGTGACAAAGAATTTGTTGTGAATATTTGTCATAGATAGTAGACAGCGGTTTGAATCATAAGATTTACTCATTTTTATTTCTAAACCAGCCATGTAGATAGACTTATATAGGCTACCTATTAATCAAATTGTCAAAAATCAAAATCTACGTGATTAATTTAGGTAGTAATAATTTTTTAATTTGATCAGATTAAAAAATGATCAAGAAATTTCTAGCTAGGAAATTTGAAAAGAGAACTGCAACTAGCCATCGCCAAAATATCGGCTGAAAGTATTATATTGTAGATTAGATATCACCGTAAGTATACGTGAGCTAAGCATGTTTGTGTGATATCTATATCTGTATGTGTTTGTGCGTGTGTTTGGTTGTTTGTGAGTGTAGTATGTTGTGTGTTTCACGTGTGTTGAAACGTTTAATGATTCAAATGTTTATAGTTAACGATGCTAATTATTATTGTGCAAAGTATCATTAACATTTAATAAACTCTACAAGATCAAAAGACAGCGATTTTGGTAATTTTATTGTGATATATAGTACTAATTAAATAAACACTTTATCAAGTTTGGTAGTTTTATTGTGATATATAATACTAATTAAATAAACACTTTATCGTTTTTAAGTCATATTGATGTGGTTAATTTTGAATTAATAAGCGAATGAATAAAAAAATCATTCCAAAAAAAAGTATTTGTTCACATATTTCAGCTTTAGTCTAACAATAATTTCGTCATTTTTTTTAATACAATATGAATGCAATGTTTTAGGCTTATAACTAATAACAACATTTTTGTGTGACCATGTAGTTACAGAGCCTACCGTTAAAATGTAAAATGACTATTATATGATCCGAGTGTCAAGTCCCTTTAGATTATAAGAGTTCTAGATTTTCTAGAAGCCCTTCCAATTACGCTTTTGTTATAATTAGACGTATAAATAATCTTATATACAGTAAAAATGCTGTTTATTCCGTATGTACAATTACTTTTAGTAAACATTAAAGCATTGTTAGTAATATAATGTAATTAATATTAACTAATATTTACTGTAATCAAATGTAAGAAGACTTCAATTAAACTTAAATATAATGTTACTATAATATAAGAATACTGCTAATAAGTAACAAATATAGTTGTTTTGATAATATAATTTTACTATAATATGAAACAAGTACATACAAACTGTATAATTATTAATGACACTAGAATTGAAATAAAAATAAATTTAAGACTTTTATCTCATTGCTAGTATTTATTATCGCCTGTCGATATTTTTTCCCATCTTTTGTTTGTACATTCATCTTTGCTGGTGGGTGATTGTTTTTTTTAGAAAATTCATCTTCCCTTTTATTTAATTTGTTTATTTAATATGAAAAAATTTTAAATTAAAATATTTTCTGATTTCATTAATTAGGCTTAACTTTCTCTAGATTTGCATTGGCTTGTTTAGTGTCTAGTTTAGTTTAGTAGTAAGTTAAGTTAGTAATTAGTTTTAGTTAGATTATAATATAATAATAATATAATATATAATTATGAAAAAAATTATATAATCATTATATATTATATTATAAAATGTTAGAGGTTAGTAAGTTTTAAAAGTAAAGTAGATTAGAGTTGTATTGAGTCTTTCTTCAAGTATAGTATACACAGTTTATTTATAAGTACTATATTTTAATATGAATAAAGTAAAAAAACTAACTTTATCTACTAATTTTGATTTTAAATACAATTGATTATCATTACATCTAGACTTATAAAAAGAAACTCGAAAATATATATTATATATGTATATATATTTTTTTATTTATAATTAAGATTTTTATTTTTAATATAAATAATATTTTGATGATAAATGTTTTTTTTCATTCAGATGAACCAGCTATAGATGAGTCAGCTATAGATGAATAACAATAACCACACTTGGATCTGTAACTCTGATTAATAATAAAATACAATAATAATTACTTTAATAATTATTATTATTATAGAAATAATAAAGCTAATTATAATAGATACAATACTACTACTATTACATTTAAACCTAAAAACAATTTAACGATTAAATTTGTTAAATTCATCTAAGGAGTTTTTACATTACGTTCATCTGTTACATTAGCAAAACTAATTAACCAACTAATTAATTGTCTAATTTATTAATTATATTTCAAATTGTGTCTAATTGGATAATCATGTGGATGCCAATTATGAAATTTTATCATCACTCACTTACCTTACTCATCACTACGCTATATCTTGCATTAGCTATTTCTGTTCAAGGTACTTAATTTTTCATTAAGATTATCATTTTAATTAAAATGTTATTAGCTAATTAATTAATTAATTATCATTCAGAAGCCTGTTTGAAGCAGAAGACATGTGGGGAATGTATGGCAGCTGGATCACCTTGTGGATGGTGCAGTCAATTGGTTGGTTGGTTGGCTGGTTGACTGGCTGGTTGGTTGGCTGGCTGGTTAGTTGGCTGGCTGGCTGGCTGAAAGGTTGATTGGATGGTTGGCTGAAGGATTGGTTGGTTAGTTGGCTGGTTGGTTGGTTAGTTAGCTGGTTGGTTGGATGGTTGGCTGAATGGTTGATTGATAAGTTTGATTGGTTGATTATATGGTTAGTTGAATGGTTGATTGTTAAGTTGTATGAACATGTCAGCTGATCACAGTAAACACACGCCTGCACGTACAGGCACACACATACACGCAGTGCACACAAACAAGCATCATTCCACCTCAACAATCTTAAACTAGTCAGATGTTGATTTAAAATACTTTAAAATTTCCTCATTTATCTTTAAATTTTATATTATGAGATTGTTTTATATATTTGTATATTTATATATGTTTTATGAGTTCATGTAGTTCTTATTTTTTCTCTGTTATAATATTCACCAAAATTTTCTTTACATTGCCTATCCTTAAAATCAGTTTCTCTTCCTTTCCTCTTAAACAAAATTATACAAATTTTAATTTCCTATAAATTTAAATAATTTCCGAATTAATTAGAAGTAATGTGATTTTTAATGTGACTTGTGAATGATTGAGTGATCATATACACTACTTCCTTTATTACTATTTTTCAGTCATCATCATAGTGGTCATCGTGGTCGTTTATCATCACAATCATCATCTTCATTTGTGTGCGTGTGTGCATGCGTGCGTGTGTGTGTGTGTGTGTGTGTGTGTGTGTGGTGCAGGATAGCAACAGACAAGGATGTTAAACAATTAAAGATACTTATATTTATAAAAATGATGGGGCTGATGTGTATTATTAGCTATGAAATGTTATATATGTTAAGATGATGAAAGTGCAATGAATGACATCAATAGTTTATCTCATTTTTTAGAAGGTAGGCTAGTTTTACATAATAAACGTTTAGTTCTAGTTATAAACTTCCATTTCTAGTTGTCAGATCAAAAAATGTTTTGTCCTCTTGTGCTAGAGAACAATTACTATGCAGTAGTAGTAATGTAGTAGTAGTACTAAGAAATTTTGTCATGTTGTGAGTTTGTTTGTGGATGATTATGTGACATTATATTAAGATGTTTGGCTGATTAGTTGAGATATTGTTTGATTGATCTAGAAATGTTTTTTCACTACAACCACTGCTTTTTTTTGTAAATGTTTACCATAAATATATTATAACACTACCATGCAAACTGCAGCAACATGCTAACTTTTTTTTGTCACTAAATACTCTTACATTTCTTTGTTTAAAACAACTATTTGTAGAGAAGAAAGTGCTAATTATATGTGTGTGTGTGTGTTTGTGCGTGTGTTCGTGTGTGTGTGTGTCTATATAGTGTCTGTGTGCGTGTTTGTGTGTGTGTCTGTGTCTGTGTGTGTGTGTCTATATATTGTATGTGTAATGCTATAGTGGGATTGATAAGTATTTAAACATGAGCAAATAATTGTAATAATAGGTAACAACAACAACAACAACATTAATAATAATAGTGATGATTGTTGTTTAGTTGTTGAGGCTTGAAAATGTAAACCTTATCACATGATTATTTTTATTTAATTGTTTGTTTGTTTTTGTGTGTGTGTTCATAGCCTGCATTGAAGCTAAGCTGTAAAGAGATGATGATGATGGCTATGACGACGATGATGATGGGGGTGGCTATGACGATGATGATTGTGATGGCTATGACGATGATGATGGTAATGATGATTCTTCTGAATGAAGATGATGATGGTGGGGGTGGTGGAGATGATGATGATGTCATTATACTTGTGATAGATTGTTCACAGTGAATGTGATGATGATTGTGAAGTTAATTACTAATAATTATGTTGAGTGAAATATGATGAGGAACGTGATGATGATGATGATAATGATTATGATGATAATGATGATGGTAGTGGTTATTGGTGATTGTACTCTTTTGTTCACTCATTTATTCGTTCTTTCATTCATCTTCTTGTTGATATATAGCACATTCTTTACATTCAGTTGCCAGTCTGCTTTCTTCCAGTTTATTCATCTCACTTTTTATTTGTCATCTTTATTTATTAATTTCTAGTCAATTATTTAGGAATGTATGTATGAGTGAATGAATAAACGAATGAGTTGATGCTTGATTGAATGAATGAATGAATGAATATATGAGTGAATGAACGAATGAATGAATTGATGATGAATGAATTGATAGTGAATGAATGAATTGAATTTTAATAAAGAACGATTGTATGACTGAATATGATTGAATGAATGGATGAATGAATGAATAAATGAATGGATGGATTATTCTTTAATGAATAATTAAATGAGTAAATGATTAAGGAATGATTGAATGAACGAAAAAAGATGAACAGACTTGTAATTAAATCAATTAGTTTATATCTTAATGTATTCATAAATTAATTAGCTCACATGTTCATCCATCCATAACTCAGTGGACATTGTAATTTATTCATGACTAATTTTAATTTATTCATAACTTAATATATTCACAACTTAATTTATTCACAACTTAATGTTTCTCACATGATTGTATGAAGGAAATGAATAAACAAACATTTTTTGTTTAAATAATGGTTAAAATAATTCATGTATTATAATAAAATATAAACAGTTGAATATTTTTGTCCATTTGTTAATTTCTTTCGTTCATTCATCTGTTCATTCATTTATTTATTCATCCATTTGTTCTTTTATTCATTTTTTCATTCATAAATTTGTTCATTCATTCATTCACTCATTCATTCATTCATTTATTCATTCATATATTTGTTTATTCATTCGTTCGTTCATTCATTCATTCATTCATGAACCCTCTCTTCCATTTCCATGATCTCCAATCATTAGAATTACGAATTCCTGGAGAGATGTGACCTGAAGGATAACCTACTGAGGAACAAGTGCGACCCGTCCCAGATTATGACTGTGCAGAGTTCCATATACCTGAATGAAGTAAGTGTGTCTGTTTGTGTGCGTGTGTGTGTCTGTTTGTATGTGTGTGTGTTTCTGTTTGTGTGTGTGTGTGGTGTGTATGTTGTTTTGTGTGTTTGTTTGTTTGTGTGTGTGTGTGTGTCTGTTTGTGCGCGTGTGTGGTGTGTATGTTGTTTTTTGTTTGCGTGTGTGTGGTGCGTGTGTGTGTTGATGTATGTTTGTTTTTTATTTTACGTATGATAGAGAATTATGATGAACAACTTCTTGAAGTATCGAGGTGATTATTGGTTGAGTGAACTACTGTTTTAATAGATGTATCATCGTCATCATCATCCTCATCATCTTCATCTTCATCATTCTCATCATCATCTTCCAAACCAGAACAAGCCACCAATGGATTCTGACTCCGTAAAGAACGCCATACAACTCTCACCTCAAAAAGTTACAATCAAGTTGAGGCCAAGTCAGTTTTTATTATTATTAATTATATTATATCATTATTATTATTATTAATAGTAGTAGTAGTAGTAATTGTTGTTGTTGTTGTAGTTGTAGTAGTTGTAGTAGCAGTTGTGTAGTAGTTGTAATAGAAGAAGATGTAGTAATAGTAGTAGTAGTATTTCTTTAATTACTTCTGCCCTGCCATTAATTATGTTATTATAATTGTCGCAATTATTAACACCTGCTGATTATTATTACTTTAGCGGCCTTCAACTATGCCTACTACTGCTGTGGCTGCTGTGGTCGCTTCTACTATTATTTTTATCATTACTTTTGCTGCTTTTGTGCTTTTGTCATTGCTGCTCATGTTGGATGCGTTGTTTTCATGCGCATACTGTGTTTGTTCACTCTATAATACGCACGGTGCTGTGTTACTGATAGATGACGCGTTAGCATCATTTGTATGTTCACCACTGCCATCAGTCTGTTGAAATTAAACAAATATTCAACCAACCAACTATTTAATCAGCCATCCATTCAGTAAGCCAATCATCATTCACTCGTCTAACCATGAAATGAACCAACCATTCAACCAACCAAGCGATCAATTAACCCAAAAATCCACCAAACATCCAACCAACCAATCAGACGACCCGTTCACATTCAACGTTCACTTCCGACAAGCTGAGAACTATCCAGTGGACCTCTACTTCCTGATGGACCTCTCACAGTCCATGGCCGATGATAAGGTCAAGTTGGCCTCGCTTGGTGATGCCCTTGGTCAGTTTCCTCAATTCAATTTAATTTATTCGTTCAGATTAATTTAATTTATTCGTTATTTTTTGTCATGATCATCGTTATAGCCATCATTTCAGTTATCATCAGAGCCGGAGTTGAAGATGGAGTCGGATTTTTTTGAGAGGCTGGAGTCGGAGAATGTTATTTATTTTAAAAAAATTATATTTTTTCCTGAAAATTTCTTCAATATTGTGTTCTTTAGAGGATAAATATATGTAGTGATGAGCAATCATCTTTAATACTGAAAAGAAATGCTATTAATGTGAATGAATTCACATAGTTTTCTTTCAGAATGCCATAAAACATAAAAATAAAGTGGTTTTACTATAAAAAAAAACAATTACTTTGACTGATTTTAAGTGTTTTTTGGAGCATTTTGAACAATTTTTATGGGGATTGGTTGGAACCCGGAGTCGGAGTCAGATATTTTTCACCCAATTCCGACACTCTTGATAACAACTGTTAGAGATTTTACGGCCGTCATCCTTATTGTCATCATTATAAATTCTATCATAACTATTTATCAGATATATCAGCAATACAAACACACGGCGTTAATCCACGCATCTCCCACATTACATGTGATAGGCTGGCGCCGGTATGCATTCGAACCTTGTAACTTCAACAGCAGGATCAGGCGTCTTAGCAATTACGCCATCTCTTAGCCACGTTCATCATCATTCATATTAGCATATTTATCATCATTCATATCGGCATGTTCGTCGTCATTCACATCAGCATGTTCGTCGTCATTCACATCAACATGTTCTCATCGTCATTCACATCAACATGTTCATCGCCATTCACATCAGCATGTTCATCGCCATTCACATCAACATGTTCATCATCCTTTCATCACAAACAGCTACAGAGATGAATAAGATAACGAAGGACTTCAAACTTGGCTTCGGTTCATTCGTCGACAAGAAGACAATGCCCTATGTCAGTACGGTACCGGCCAAGTTAGTATTTCACCTGACTCATCTTTCCTGTATCATTATGGCTATCACCATCTTCATCATCATATCGTTATCATTATCGTCGTCGTCATCATGATTCCTCCTCATCATTATCAATCACCAACTTCGCAGACTGGAAAACCCATGTGATGAAATGCAAGATTGTGCAGCCCCGTACGGCTTTCGTAATGACCTCCCACTCGACATTGACACCTCAAGGTTCAAGGTCAGGTTATGATGATGACGACGACGATGGTTATGGTGATTACGATGATGATGATGATGAGAAGGAGGAAGACGATAGTAATGATTATAATGGTGATGGCAGTGCCCCATGATGATTACGATGATGATGGCTTCAATTGATACGATGATGAAGATATTGATGGTGATAGAAGTTGCTATGATGACGACGACGATGACGATGCTGGTAATGATGAGGTTAAAAGTTTCAACAGCTTTTGTTTAAAATTGCAAAATAATTGCCGGTGCTGTTTTTTTTGGGCTGATGTAATTATAGGATAATTTTTTATATAAAATGAAAAGTTGTATATAACTCTACAGTGGAGGGAGAAGAGGACTACGACGATGATGACGTCATAATGAGGGGATATTATTCATTATTATAAATTATAACTTATTATTATAAATTATAATTTATTATTATAAATTTTAATTTATTATTATGATGTAGGGGACGAAAATGTAGTTGTAAATATTAAAAATTATGAATTTTTTTGGGGTGACATCATGTTAAACTTATGCACGCAAAGTGGAAGTCAATCTCCATCTAAGTTCATTTTGACAAAGTCAATATTTCCCTATATAAACAGCAGAAAGCACTGATGATGATTCATTCAGAATCGAAATATGGCCTTATTTGCAGCATGAATTCGGAAAATAAGTTTATTTTGAATTTTAATAAACTAAACGTTTACCAAAAAACTTTAGTGAGAAAACTAGAAAACTTGAAAAAACGAACTACAAACATATTAACGCCAAACATTTGGTAGAATTTATAGAATATTGTAAAAATTATGGTCTATTACCAATATATATATATATATATATATATATATATATATATATATACATTATATACATATCAAATGCATACATGTAAAAAGTCCATTAGATACATATTGTTTCTGTCGAAGTTAATAGTTTAGGTAAAGCCAGGCAGTAAATTGAAACTTACAAAAGATGGATGTGCATTAGATGAATTATTAACTGAGGGGAGTTATTTAGTAAAATACGCGGGGTTTAGACGCGATTTCATGCCAGTAGAGAGTGCTACTGTTCAGCAATGTAGCTGATAGATATGTCTTCCAGCATGCTGGTCAAAATTGGCAATGCTTCATTTATACTTTCGAATGCCAACGGATAAGTTTTGTTTTGCCAAACATTTTATATAAGACGCACTAACTGAACGAATCAGTTAGTTGATAACTTTACTGATCAGTTAAGCGGTTAGTAAACTAATTAGTTAATTTTTTCCATTATTTCATTGCCAAATTTTTATGAAAACGCTATGAAAACGCTTTAGACAAATTAAAATATCACAAGAGATTCGACACCTCAAATTAGTTGGGAAATTCCACCGACTTTTCTTTAGGCAAAGGTCAATGAGGTCAAGGTCTCTGGCAACCTGGATGCACCAGAGGGCGGATTCGACGCCATCATGCAGGCCATTGTATGCCAAGTGGGTGGAGCTAAATATTGCCAGTTATTTATGTTTACAAAGTTATTTTTATCAATTGTCACCGGCACATGCATACATTTCCGCATTTTTTTAATATAAATTTCAATTAATATTGCGATACCGTCTATAAAAACACACGTACACACACACACACACACACGCACACACACACACACACGCACCTAAACATACAGAAAGAAATAGGTTGGAGAAATCAATCCAGGAAGATGTTACTCTTCTCAACTGATGCCAGCTTTCATTACGCTGGAGACGGAAAGGTTGGTTGGTTGGTTGGTTGATTGATTGATTGATTGATTGATCGATTGATTGATTGATTGATTGATTGATTGATTGATTGATGGACCAGCTTGGTGGCATCGTTACTCCGAACGACGGCCAGTGTCATTTAAATGCCCAGAATGAATACAGCGAGAGTCTCAACCAGGTTGATTTCTTTTATTTGTATTTTCGTTCATTCAGTCAGTCATTTGCTTGTGTGATTGATTGATTGATCGATTGACTGATCGATCGATACAATTATACATAAATTCATTCGTTCGTTCATTTTTTTCTCATTCATCCGTTCCTTTTTTCATTCACTTTTTCATTCATTCATTCATTCATTCTTAAACAGGACTATCCCTCAATTAGTCAACTGGCTCAGAAGATATCTGAAAAGAAGGTGACAGTTATCTTCGCTGTTACTTCAACCCAGGCAAGGAATTATTATTGTTACTATTATTTATTGTTATTAATATTATCATTATTGTTGTTGTTGCTGTTGTTATTCCTCTACCAACCAATCACGTAGCGTTCCTCTACCAACCAATCACCTAACATTCCCCTATCGACCAATCACCTAACATTTCCTTATCGACCAATAACGTAGCATTCCCCTATCGACCAATCACGTGACATTCCCCTATCGACCAATCACGTAGCGTTCCCCTATCGACCAATCACGTGACATTCCCCTATCGACCAATCACGTGACATTCCCCTATCGACCAATCACGTAACAGATCCCAGTCTACAAGACGTTAAGTGAGTTTATAGAGGGGGCTACGGTCGGGGCTCTGGCCGAAGATTCCTCGAATATCGTGTCACTGGTCAGGGATAATTATAACGTTAGTGATGACGATGATGACGACGATGTTGTGGCTGATGATGATGATGTCATTTGTGTTTGTTTGCATGGCGTCAAGCCCGTCAGGGGGTATTTGAAATTTAGCGCCCACGGGCACAAATCATACGCCTACCTATGCTGTCTTCAAACTAATTGCTATATTAATAATAATTATTATTATTATAATTATAATAATTATTATTATTATTATTTATATAATTATAATAATAATTATTATTATTATTAACGTCCTACCTCGCCTACCTCGGGAAACTGGGTCTCTGGTCGCAAAACGAAGATTGATTGATTGATATTATTATTATAATTATAATAATTATTATAATTATAATAATTATAATAAATATTGATCTATACGAGTGATAACAATGATGATGATGATGACGATGACGATGATGATGATGATGAAAGAGTTCAGATGATGATGATGAAGGAATCCAGATGATGATGAAGGAATCCAGATGATGATGATGAGGGTGATGGCGATGATGATAGTAGTTACTGTAAAAACCATTTGACCACCACCAGAAAATAAGTAGCAGTGTTGAGTTGAAGACGAAAGGTGAAGAGGACACACAGGTTATCATCAAGTCAAAATGTTTTGGGTCAGTTTTGTGTGTGTGTGTATTGTGTATGTGTATTGTGTGGTGTGTGTTTGTGTATGTGTGTGGTTTGTGTGTGTGTGTGGCGTGTGGTATGGTACATGATTAAAAAAGCTTGATGAGGATAGAGATGATGAATATTCTGATAACGATGATGATGATGATGATGATGAAGCTGACCATGATGGTACTCAACTTAACTTACTGATGCACAGAACGGAGCTGAAGGACACGGCGAAATGTGATGACATCAGAATTGGGAGCAACGTCAGTATTACGTCATCATCGTCGTCGTCTATATCATCATCATCATTCTCTTACCATCATCATCATCATCATTCTCTTACCATCATCATCATCTCTCTTGTCGTTATCATCACTGACACCACTGCAGTTTTTATTATTACTGATGATAACATTATCACCTTTATTAGCCATCGCTTACTTTCTTGTTGTCTTATTCAGTCATTCAAGCATATTTTTCTCTAACAACTTTTTTCAGTATTGTTAACATTGCACGCTACATTACAACATCATTGTCTTCACCATTTCGTCATCATAACATATGCCATCATAGTCATCCCCTTAAACTGTGTCAACATCATCATTACCATCATCTCAGGTGACCTTTGACGTGACCTTAATGGTGACCTCGTGCCCCAAGGACAAATCAAAATGGAAGAGAACTTTCTCCATATACTCCGTCGGCTTTTCGGAGGAGGTGGTTGTGGATGTCGAGCTGATGTGCAGTTGCAACTGCGAAGGCCCGGATCAAGAGGTTGTTTGTGTCTGTGTGTGCGTGTGTGTGTTTTTGTTTGTGTGTGTGTGTGTGTGTGTCTTAGTGATGTCACATCGTCATTACTGGCACCATCGCTTGAAACGTCATCACTATATATTGTCATATACGGTCTGTATAGGGAATATGAAATTTTAATAAACTTCAGCAGCTTCGTCGTCGTCATCGTCGCCATAATCACAACCACCATCATCATCACCATCATCATCATAATCGTAGGTGCAACGGAGTGAAGAGTGCAGTCGTGAGGGCACGCTGTCGTGTGGCACGTGCCTCTGCAACAAGGGCTTCTATGGCAAGAATTGCGAGTGCTCTTCAGACGAAATGGGAACCGATGATAATTTATGCAAGAAGTCAGGGTCATTTGGTGTCTAATTAATATTACTATTACCCTATCAATATTCACGAGGCGCTTTTTATATTGGATGGACACACATAATCGTCGCCATCCATCTTTCTCCCTAGGACGAGTACCAGCAAGATATGTTCGGGGCATGGTCAGTGCATATGTGGCAAGTGCGAGTGCAACCCCATCAACCCTTCCGACCCCTCCAAGAAGTACAGTGGCTCCTACTGCGACTGCAATAACTACAACTGCGACTACGAAGACGGCAAGCTCTGTGGAGGTATGTGCCGGTGTGTGTGTGCGTGCGTGAGTTTGTCTGTGTGTGTGCGTGCGTGTGTGTGTTTGTCTGTGTTTTTATCTGTGCTGTGGGTATGCTATTGTGTTTTATGTGTTATTGTGTTATGTATACACACACACACACGCACACGCAAATATACACACGAACACAAATACACACGCACACACAGGCCCAGAGAGAGGTGTATGTGTGTGTGGTAGTTGCAAATGCAATGAGGGCTTTCAAGGGGCAAGTTGTGGCTGTGCCACGAGTAAGAAGGAGTGCATAGCTTCTGATGGGGTGGGTTTTTTGTGTGGTTGCAGTTATGATGACGATTACGATTGTGATGATGATGATGATGATGGTGGTGGTGGTGGTGATAATCTTGAGTGGTGAAAAGAATGTTGGCCGTGATGGGTGGATAGGTAGAAAAATGAGATATCATGTTTCTTCAATTTTTGCAAAATTCCCCACCAAACAATCTTAACGTCAAAAAATCTTCACTATGATGACAACAAATCAAAATCGAAGACAGTAACAGCTAAACCAACAACAACAACAATTACAACAATTACGATAGACACGGACAACAACACAAACAACAACAGAAACACAAGCTACAACAGAAACAACAACAGCACCAACCACACACCAACAACCACGCAGACAACAACCACACAAACACGTACAACACCAACCAACCAACCAACAACAGAGTGAATGCAACAACAAAGGCTATTGTGATTGCGGTCGTTGCAGATGCACTGACGTCACATACAAGGGCAAGACCTGCGAAGAATGCCCCGTAAGTTATAGTAGTAGTAACGGTAGTAGTAGCAGTAGTAGTAGCTGTAGTAGTAGAAGCAGCAGTAGTAGTAGTAGTAATAGCAGTAGAAGTAGTAGTAGTTGTAGTAGTAGCAGTAGAAGTAGTAGTAGCAGTAGTTATAGTAGTAGCAGAAGTAGTAGTAGCAGTAGTAAAAGTAGTTGTTGATTAAGTTCATTTTGTTGTTAGTTTTGTTTTCATTGTATCTTTTCATTTATTTAGTTAACGCTTCGACGATAATGATGATAGTGGTGATGAAGGTGATGATGAAGATGATGAAGAAGATGATGATGATGATGATGAGGATAAAAAATGACCGAGCAGACGTGTCCGACGGCTTGTGACGAGAAGAGGGGCTGTGTCCTCTGCAGGGCTTTCAAAGTTTACAGCAAGTTGAATGAGGAGGAATGCTCGAAGCAGTGCGATCACGTGGCTGTCGTTCAAGAGATTGATAAGATTGGTTGGTTGGTTGGTTGGCTGGCTGGTTGGTTGGTTGGTTGGTTAGTTGGTTGGTTGGTTGGCTGGTTGGGATAGGTTAGGTTGGTTGGTTGTTTGGTTGAGTTTATTGTTTGGTCGATTTGGTTAGTCGGTTGTTTGGTTGATTTTGTTAGTTGGCTCTGTTGGTTGGCAGGCTTCATTAATTAATTTTTTTTAGCAGGCCTTATACTTTTTCTATTTTTACGATAAACTATTTTTACGCGTGTGTGTGTGTGTGTTTGTGTATACATATGCCTATGTATGTATCTCATATATCATCATCATCATCATCTCCTTTTCCATCATCATCATCTCCTTCTCCATCATCATCATCACCTCCACGCAGACGAAACAGTGGGCCAGTGGAGGTACTGCAAGTTCCGTGATGACAGTGACGGATGTGACGTGCAGTTCAAGTGGAATGCCGACAATAACGAAATCAAAGTGGCTAAGAGCAAAGGTGACGTCATCGTCGTTTCCGTTTTTCCGTTTTTATTTCTGTCTACTGGACCGCGTGATCAGATCATCGCATCGTCGCATGACCACACCACTACGTAATCACGTGACCACACCACTACGTAATCACGTGACAGTCATGTCGTCATCACGTGACCACACCACTACGTAATCACGTGACAGCCATGTCGTCATCACGTGACCACACCACTACGTAATCACGTGACAGCCATGTCGTCATCACGTGACCACACCATTACGCTATCACGTGACATCCATGACATCACCGCACGACGTAACCACACCACCACCCACCACAGAGTGTCCCACCCCGGTGAACCTTCTCTGGATCATCCTTCCGGTCATCATCGGCATCCTCGTCATCGGCCTGCTGCTGCTCCTCATCTGGAAACTCCTCGTCACACTCCACGACAGGAGAGAGTATGCCAGATTCGAGAAGGAGAGGGAGAACGCCAAGTGGGAGATGGTGAGTTTTGGTGAGGGTCCATGGCTGTGTGATTGATGATCATTAGGATGATGATGGTGGGCTGGTTAGATGGTTGGTCAGTTGTTTGGCTGGCTGGGTGGCTGGTTAGTTGGTTGGTTGGGTAATAACTGTTGGGCTAATTATTACGAGAGGAGAACGTTAATGAATGTTAATGTAATAATTTGTATGTAAATTTATGCTAATTTATGCTAATGTTTCATTGAAATACTCAGGGTGAGAACCCGATATACAAGCAGGCTACATCAACGTACAAAAATCCAACGTACAACAAGATGAAGTGATGATGAAGATGATGATGATGGCGTGATGGAGTTGGAGAAGATGATGATGGCGTGATGGAGATGATGGTAGAAGGATGAAGATGAAATGATGACGATGATATGGTAAGAGTGAATGTCTTACTAACTAACAGAGTGAGTGAGTGATTGAGTTGGGTTTAAATGTAAATAATAAATAATAATTTGTATTGAATGGTTGCTGACGGAAACTGATGAAAGATTAATTGAATGAATGAATGAATGAATGAATGAAGGAATGAAGGAGTGAGAAAAATGAATGATTGATAAACTTATTTGATACAAACTTGATAGAATTAACGCTACCAAACCAATATAATAAGATGGAAATTAAATTGAACAAACGAAACGAAACGAAATTTTATCTGCTTCTCAAAATTCAAAATTGAAAGAAAGCAGGATGGCCATAGTAGAATTTATATAAAAGTCATCTAGTATGAAACGAATCAAAAACGAATTAATGAATGATTAATTGAATAGATTAACTTTATTGAATATAACGACTGATTATTTAACTAATTAATTAATAATTAATTAATAATTAATTAGTGGATTGATTGGATATGGTTACACATCTTATTTGTAATTTATGTAACGTACCGCGTAAGGATTTTATGTACTTTAAATTGTAATTAAGTAGTTAGAAAGAAGTTTGTGTGTGTGTTGTGTTTGACTGTCTGTGTATGTTTGTGTGTGTGCATTCAGTTACAAAATACTATTATTCAGTAGATAACACTTGTATCAGTGTGTGTGTGTAGTGTGTGTATGTGTCTGTTTGTTATGACCACAGTTATTAAAAAAGTTGTTTTTATTTTGAAAAAATTTTATTTTTCATAAAAAATGTTTATATATCGTGTTTTTAATTTATCTCTGATATTTTAATATTTGTTTTGCCGTTCTTTTTCTAATATAAATTTGCACGAGTTTCTTCTGTTATGTGTATAACGAGTTGAAGTGTCAGTCGTTGTGTGTGGAAGTAAAATTCTCTCTAATTTATGTGTGTTTGTGTGAATTTACTTATGTGTGTGGTGTGTGTGTGTGTGTGCTTGGATTCATATGTGTGTGTGTATCCGTTTTTGTATGCACAAAGCGTCTTATATAACCTTCCATTCAGTATTTTAGGTTATGCTAATGTACGTGTGTATGTGTGGGCTAAATACATGTGTTATGTGTGCGTGTTGTGTGTGTGTGTGTGTGTGTGTGTTGAACGTGTGTTACGCTATGATATGATGTTCAGTTAGAAGTCACGAATCTAGATAGATGCTTTCTGATTCGTTTTTTGTCATATTTTAATGAATTACGTGTATCTAACAACGTTCATTCAATTGTTCACTCATTCATTTATTCGTATAATTGATTGATTGTTTAATTGATTAATTAATTAATTAATAGATATGATTTTTCATTTATTCTTTCTTCAGTTGCTACTCATAAATATATATATATATATATATATATATATATATATATATATATATATATATACATACATAAAACGTTTATGAATTTCATTTGTTAACATTTATGACGTTACATAGCCATGTTTTTTATGGTCTACTCGTAGTAAAGAGAAAAATATAAAATGATATATTTTTTTAGTTTTCTTTTTAGTTTGTTTGTATGTGTATGTGTATGGTTGTGTGCGTGTATGTGTATGGCTGTGTATATGTGTGCTTGTATGCCTCCTTTGACAGTGTGTTTGTTTTTATATCTCGTCATGTATGTTACAAAGCAAGCTAGTTTTATTATGCTAAAGTGTTTTTAAATTCAATCTTCCAACCGCTATTTAACACATTTTATTGTTCTTATGAGTATGTAGTACATTCATATATATATATATATATATATATTAACAAATATGCAGTTGTTTAGAAATAAATATCATTGCATTGTAATCGTTTGCTATTGGATTTTTCAATTTTTCCTGAAGATTGAACAACTCATGCAATGCTGTGACACCTTCAAACAACTGCTTATCAGGTAGTCTCAGCCCAATGTTCATTAGCAAATATGCGTTTGCAGTTGTGTTTTTTTTTAGTTTTGCATGATTTTATTTGCCGATTCATTTCCATCTGTCGATTGGTACTTTGTTACAATTGGCGTCATAGTTTGATAAGACACGAAATTTAAAATTTTTTTTAAGTGTTTCATCGCTAGGCTTTAAAAATTATAGATAATCTATCTATATATATATATATATATATATATATTTTTTTTTTTTTATTTATTTATGAATATTATTATTATTGTTTTTTTTTATTATTATTCTTGTTAATATTATTCATCAGTTATTGCTTGTCTGGTTTATTTGTTCTTATCTATTTTTCTTTCTTTGCTCTTAACAGCCAGCTAGCTAGCTTACAAATTGTTATTCACCCGACCTTTATATGTGTAATAAAATAAATGGAATGAAGGAAAAATAATGTTTGTTTGTCCTGTCGGTTTATTCTATAATTTGATTTATTTGGTTTAAAAGTTTAAAAAAAAATTCAAAATGGATTTGATTTGAAAGTGAGTATGCTACCATGTAAGGATTCCACGTGAAAGCGTTTAAAGTAAAAGTAGTCTGAATGTTGTTACTGAACCCAAAATATTGGTAAAATAAATATTATGGTTGAAAATTATAACAGATCAAATAACTAAATAGTAATTTATTACCTAGAGAGGGTAAGTGGTGTATTAAATTAGGATCTTAGGAAAAATTTTATGATTAGGTACGTATTCAGGAGGAGTTTCTAGGTCCCAAAGTAAATCATTTTGGGTAAATTATGTGGAAAGGATTGGAAAAATGTCTCTGAATCTTAAAAAACGATTAAATAAACTCAGAAAATATAAGAAAAACATGAAAAATAAAAATTTTAAAATATGAAAAAATAACTAGAAAATGTATTTGTGAGTGATACAGGTAGTAAGAAAAATTAACACTGGACATCAACCACGCAAATTTTTTTCGGAGTTAGTTTTCCCAGCAAAGCTTTTGACATAAATTTGGATTTACAAAAGACAAAAGTCATCGTTTAGAAACTTTCTTTGACTGCGCGTACTCACACACACGTTCACTATCTTGTATGATAAAGGTTAAATAAACATTTTTTAATACATGTGTGTGCTGATTTTCTATAAAAACAGATAACAAATATATATATGTGTGTGTGTATGTGTGTGTACATGTGTATATAATGTATTATGTGTGTGTACTTGTGGTGTGTGTGGTGTGTGTGTGGTGTGTGTGTGTGTGTGTGTGTGTGGTGTTTGTTTGTGTGTGTGTATTTTTCCGTATATATATTCCGTGGAGCATTCACTTTAAATAAGATGCAAGTTAGGTTTTTGTTCAAAAATTATTTTAATTTGGGAAGCGCGTTTTTAACATTGCATAACCGCATTATTCAGCATTACTACTACAATTACTGCTGCTACTACTGCTACTACTACTACTACTACTACTACTACTACTACCACTACTACTACTACTACCAGATGAGAAACTCTTCAGAAGTATAAAACACAAACTTTTGTAAAACAATATTAATATTATTTTAATGTTTACTGACAACAACTTCTACAACATTAAAGTTATCAACGATCGTAATAACATTAGAAGGTAACAACATTGTTAATAATAATAATAACTAGAACATCAGCCTTATTACCAATAACATCAACAACATCATCACCGTCATCATCACATTTTTCGTCGTCATCAACACCCTTACTATCAACGCCATCACACTCACCATCACCACACCGGCTGTATATCAGATATCATCATGATGATATGTATCATCTTTCTCATCACCGTTCTAGTCGCCAAGATCAGTGGTGAGTTTTTGTGTTATGTATCTCTCCAATTATATCTACCTAACTATCTAATAAACATATTTAGTTTATTTATTGTCATACGCTTTAACAATAACCACATCTAATATTGTTGTAAGTAGCTATACACACATGTGTTTGTGTGTGTGTGTGTGAGTGTGTGTGTTTGTGTGTGTGTGCGCGTAAGGTCTGCAGTTCATTGCTTCAATTTTATTTTGTATTTCGCGTTGAGAAGTTGATCAAGAGAAGTTTTTCCAATTTTTTTATTATCCTTTTGATGTCAGTGTGGAGTAGAGGCTAAGGCGTCTGGTCCTGGTGTTGCAGTAGCCTGGTTCAAATTCAAACAGATCATACCAGTGCATGGATGTTTCACTCGTGTTTACATTTTGAAAAAAATCAAAAACAACTAAAATTACAATTTTGATGAATTACGTTACTAGCATCAATAACAACAACAACAACAACAATAATAACATCAATAACATCAACAAAAACAAAACAGTTGCCTACCATGCTCTGATGAATTGATTCCTGATAAGACAAAGGTTTAGTTGGTCATTCATCTATACAGTGCCTTTGTGTGTATGTATGAATGTATGTATGTATGTATGTATGTATGTATGTATGTATGTATGTATGTATGTATGTATGTATGTATGTATGTATGTATGTATGTATGTATGTATGTATGTATGCATGCATGCATGCATGCATGTATGTATTATTATTATTATTATTAAGAAACATTTATTAAACGCTAATTAAACAATTTCATAAGCGTTCTCTCAAAAACAAAACAAAATGTTTTATGTGACTGTTCATGAAACGAAAATCAAAGTAACAAATTTTACAATTTCACAGAAAATAAAAATGTCTTTAGTTCTTTTTTAAATAAATCCAGAGAAGTTCCCGATCTTTTTAACATAGGTGGAAGGTTATTCCAAACAGAGGGACCAGCCACGGCAATGTCCCTAGAACCAATTTGCAAACGCGTGACTGGCACCCTTAGCAGATTCAAATCATCCGACCTGAGATAGGAAGATGATGCTGTTTGTTTTCTGGTAAATTTATTTTTCATGTATTCAGGTGACATGTCATTTATAGACTTGAACATGAGAACTGCAATTTTAAAGACTATCCTTTTGTTAATTGTCAACCAGTGTAGTTCATTCAAAATCGGTGTCACGTGATCATACTTCAAACCACCAGCAACGAGTTTTGCAGCTCTGTTCTGCACCGACTGAAGGACGGCAACTGATAATTTCGGCAATTTGTAGAACAAACTGTTGCAGTAGTCCAAACGAGATGTAATGAAGGCGTGGACCAACGTTTCCAAAGTAGGTCTATCCAACGAATGTCGAATTTTATACATGCTTCTAAGGTGGATAAGACTTGATGTACAGATCTTTTTGATGTGATTTTTTATTGATAACTTGTTGTCAAGCAAAACACCCAGGTTTGAAGCAGTATCAGCCAATGGTATATCAACATCTTCTATTTTAACAGAACTAAAATCAATTTTCAGCAATTGCTGCCACGGTCCAACCGGAAGTAATTGAGTTTTGCATTCGTTTAGTTTTAACGAGTTTGATGACATCCAACGTCCTACCTCTGATAAACATCTGATAAATCTCTCAACTTCAGTTTTGAACAAACAAGGAGAACTAGTAACCAGCACCTGAATATCATCTGCAAATGCATGGCAGACATATCCGTAGGAGCTGATTATTTTGGTAATTTCCGACGTGTACAGGAGAAAAAGAACGGGTCCCAAAACTGAGCCTTGAGGTACCCCTGACGTTATGATGGAAACCTCTGATACTGAGTCATTAAATGAAACCTGTTGTGTCTGATTTGATAAGTATGATTCAAACCATCTATATACATTATTCATTACCCCGTAATTTTGACGCAGTTTTGCCAGAAGAACATCATGGTTGACGCAGTCGAACGCTGCCGACATATCCAAAAACGATAGTAATGATATTCTCTGAGCATCTGCAGCGGCGAATAAACTTGATAGGACATTCAATTATGCAGTTTCGGTTGAATGAAACTTCCTATATCCTGATTGATTGAGAGGCATTAAATTGTTTTCTGTTAGATGATTCAACAAAAACTTGAGAACAACGCGCTCCATGATCTTTGAGATAAACAGAAGGTTGGATATCGGTCTGTAGCTTGCAACATCGTTGACATCACCATTGGCTTTTTTTAAAATCGGGACAACCGTAGCATGTTTGAACCAAGCAGGAAATTTACCCAACCTCAGGCAGAGATTGAAAAAACTTGTAAGAAAGCAGATAAACAAGTGTATATATTTCTTAAAAATATGCGTCGGAAAAATATCTTGTGAACTTGTTTTTGAAGGAGAATTCATTATGATGCCTTTAAGTTCGGTTTCTGTTATTTCTGGAAAATCTGCCAATGAAACAAGATTTGTAACATGACTGTGATGGAACCAAAACGTTGGTAGACATTATAATCTTGTTGATCTTGTCTGTGAAGAACTGCATGAATTGAGAAGTTTTTAGGTTGATATTACCATCAGATTTATTACTTTGTTTATTTCTACACAAAACCCTGTTCACAATCTGCCAGCGATTTTTGGAGTTGTTGTTAGCTTTGACCAAATTTTTCCAGTAACTTGAACGTTTTTTAGAATAAAGTTTATTTCTTTCTGACAAAGAAACCAACCAGTCATTTCGATGATCAGTCGTCGAGTGATTTCTACATGACCTTTCCATCCGCCTGCAAGTTAGTTTAGCCCGTCGACAATCATCATCAAACCAAAGTGCCATACTCTCTCCTCTGTCATAAATCAAACGCCAAGGCACAAGTCTGTCGACAATTTTTTTTAACTCGTCGTTAAACATTTTTAATTCAATCTCGACATCGTTACTCTGACAAGGCCCAGAGACTGGAGAATCCAAAACAGCCCTAGCCAGTTGATTTCCGTCCAGACTTTTCCATAACCTGACATGTCTCGCAGTTATTTTACGAAATGTCTGAATCAATGTTTCAACTGTTATTAAACTGTGGTCAGACATCACACCGCTTGGAAATATTTTTATGTTGGTAACAGGAAAGTCACAAGAACTGATTACCAAATCCAAAGTACCACCCAACACATGTGTTGGTTCGTTAATGTGGTTGACTAATTGGAAGGTTTCAAATACCTCACCCAATCGGATGGAATATGGATCATCAGTTCTTTCGAGATGTACATTAAAATCTCCCATGAGCAAAACGTTAGAACCCAAGACTGTAATCTGCTCTAAAACTGAATCCAGTTCTTGAAAAAATAAAACAGACAGTTGTGCTGAGCCAGGTCGATATATAGCAATCAGAATGAATGTACTTCCGTTGACCCAAAATTGGATAGCAACAGCTTCAAGTGTAGTAAGTTGTGGAAGAATTATTTTTTTGTACTTGAATTCTTTACGAAAGTAGACTATCAAACCACCGTGACCTGGATCATGCTGCCTAACAAAATCAACAAACTGATATCCAGCAGGCATGGCCAGATTGATAGAAATATTCCCAGCCAACCCGTGCCATGTTTCCGTTAAAACCAGTATATCAATCCATCACAAAGTAACCCATGAACATCACCTACCCTCTTTGAAATTGACCTGACATTTAACAGTCCAATCGTAACATTGTATTTAACATTAGATCCTTTGTTTGTTAGATGATGAAATTTATTTTTAACTAATCCAAACAAATCATAGCACGAACCCACTCTATCATTTATTAATTTGACTCTTTTTTTGCCGGAAATTTCACTATTTTCCACCTTCCTACTTCCCCTCGCACTCTGTATAAAAAAATCTCTTTACAGTTGGTTTCTCTCGCTTTTGCATCATCTAAAATTCTTTTCAGCTCCTTGCGCTGATCAACAGTCAAATCATGACTCAATTTGACGTGTGCAAAATCATCGTTCAAAGATCTGAGTTTGTACAAATTGGTAAAGAAATATTCCTTGCTTTTTACATCATCAAACTTGATGAGGATTGGCCTGACAACTCTTTTACCTCTCTTACCCAATCTAAAAACTTTCAGTATATTTTTTCCGTTGACAGTGTCATCAGTCAATTTCGCAATCATTTTTATGACCCGATCCTTGTCGTCAAGGCCTTCTCCCAGCCTGAACAGCATCGCATTAGCCTCTCTTTCTTTAGCATCGGCAACATCATTTAGTGTTTTTCGGACATTTTTAAGATCTTCATTGATGATCTTAGCACTCTGTTTCACTTCAGTGCTGACCACACTAGCAAAAGATCTCATCATTTCAGACTTGAGGCCGCTTATCTCTTGATTTAACTTTTTTCCCGATGTGCACTCAATCGAGTCCAGCTGCGATTTTATAGCGACGTGGTTGGCACTGATGGCATTAACTTTTTCATCAAGTGATTTACTGATTTCATCAATCGATTTATTCAACAGCCCCAAATCAGTTTCTTCCAATTTAGTCTTAATTGAAGCATTAACATCGTTGAGTTTGTCTAACTTTTCATTGAACGTAACTTTTATGTCATCAATAGATTTAGATAACAGTTACATGTCACAAACGTTTTTTACACATTTATCACAGAACCATTTAATGTTACCGTTTAAACGTACAACTGAATAAACCTCGTCAGACATTGAGTCAACATTAGCCGTGCACTCACACTGAAAACATTGAAGCTGTTTCAACGTAAGTACACCGTCTTTCTTACCTGGATTTTGACGTGTATTCATAATAACAGGTGGAACAAAACTGTACACTGCAATTAACACGTGACTAAATAAACTCTATGAAAATTCGATTCAAATGCCAAAAATACGCAACTTTAAATATTGAATTAAATTAAAACAGTATCTAGAATTTAATTGCAATAATATGTCCAATTTTCAGAAACAAAATCAAAACTAAAACTCCGAAAATCGAGAATCTCTAGCAGGGCGAAAACAAACAATACAATAGCCACAATACTCACATACATACATGTATGTATGTATGTATGTATGTATGTATGTATGTATGTATGTATGTATGGATGGATGGATGTATGGATGGATGGATGTATGTGTGCGTATTTCTGTGATTGTTGTTGTTAAGTGCCTATTAGTACAATAAGATCGATATATTTATCAGCTATCCCCGTCAAATAAATCTACTATATCAATTCTTTTCACCAATCTTATGAATGCGAACATGTGCGTGTGTGTTTGTATGGCTGTGTATATGTGAGTGTATTTTTTGTATCAATTTCATGTATTGTCTGTATCATTTGTATCAATTTTGTATATTGTTTGTATTATTAGTATCAATTGTAAGTTTTGTTGATGTTATTTGTATCATTTGTTAAAGGTTACTCTCTCTATTGCGTTAGCTTCAGAGGTTTCAACGACAAACACACACAGCGTATATGAATACGCGTGCAAACCACGCATCATACACATTGCATATGATAGGCGGGGATCTCTTTGTATTCGAACCCAGTCATTGCAATAGCAAGACCAGGCGCCTTTAACCATTGAGCCATCACGCCGCCCAATCGTGGGTATCATTTCTGTAAATACATTGCATCACTTGTGTATCTTTATTTTTTAGTATCAACAGTGTCTAATATTGTTATATAGCATTTGGAACAATAATTTATCTCGCTTATATCAACTTGCTCTTTCAGTTGTGGTATCATCTGTATTAATTGTGTGTTTCATTGATATCTATCCTTTGTATAAATTTTGTGTAACATTTGTATCATTAGTATCCATTCTTTGTATCGTATGTTTGTATCATTAGTATTTATTCTTTGTTAACAAATGCTTGTATCATTGATATCTATTCTATCAAATGTTTAATATCATTAATATCATTAGTATCCATCCTTTGTATCGAATGTTTGTAACATTAGTATCCATCCTTTGTACCGTATGTTTGTATCATTAGTATCCATCCTTTGTATCATTGATATCTATCGTTCATCTCAATTGGCAGTATTGTCATCATTAAAAACAATGGAACGTAGCATGACATGTTCCACCATTCCATTGTGACTTGACATATGCGCATGATGTTGTTTACATTGCAATAAAATTCCACTTTACATGATGTATCAAATGTGTATTTCTGTGTGTGTGTGTTTGTGTCTGTGTGTGCGTGTGCCAGTTTGTGTGTATATGTGTGTGTGTGTGTACGTCTGTGTTTGTGTGTACGTGTGTCTCTGTGTGTGTGTGTGTGTGTGTGTGTGTGTGTGTGTGTGTGTGTGTGTGTGTGTGTGTGTGTGTGTGTGTGTTGGATAATTTGGTTAAAACCCGTAAAATTAACTTTCATTCCATACTTAGTAGAAATATTCGCAACGTTCTAGCATTTAAACATACTCGTTTAAATCCATTTTGAATTTATACACAGAAACGATGGCGAATTATTTCTGTTAAATATTTCATTTCAGAAGCACGTTGTAATGACGAGAGCAAACATTGGGGATTTTGTGGATTGTGGAGTGGAATGGATGGAAATTTGTTTGGAGCATGTAATGAGTGCATGCATTTTAAAGATTTTTAATTAGTGAAATGTGGAAAGAAAAAACATAAATGAAACGAAGACAAGTGAAATACAGAAAAAGAGAGGCGAAGAGAGGAATAGAAGAAGAGAAAGAAAGAAAGAGGAAGAAAAAGAGATGATGACACTCAATGAGTGGTCGGTCAGCTTTCCAGCCATTTTATCTTTGATGGTAAAAAAAATGTTTTAAACATTTGACATCTGACGGGTTTCTTATTTCCAGAAATTTTCTTAAACTTTTTGTTAAACATCAATTTTTAGCATCATTTAAAATTCAATTATCTTGCTTTTTTATTTTAAATTCATCTTTGCTGAATTACTTAATAATAGCATTTAGCAAAAACAATTTGACACCTCAACACAACTGATTTTTTTTTCTCTAGGTGGTATGATTGTTTTTTATTTGGTTAAAAATTGTGTGTGCATATGTGTGTGTGTGTTGTTTGTGTGTGAGTTTGTGTAGGTTTGTGTGCGTTTGTGTGTGTGTGTATGTGTGTGTTTTTATGTGTGTGTGTGTGGTGTATGGTGTGTTTGTGTATGTTTAAGAGTGTTTGTTTTGTTGTTTTAGGGAATGGGAGTAGGTATGTTTTTAAAAAACAAAATTAAATGAAGATTTAGAAAAGAATAAAAAATAAACTAATCAAAAAATGAAAAAGAAAAAAAGAGAGAAGAAAGAAAGAAAGAAAGAAAAAAAGATGAAACGGTGATATTGGCTTGAACAAAAGGCTTCAACGTTTAAAATTTGAAGAAAGTTATTTCTTTCTGGTTCAACTAATTTTCCTCTCACAAACATCACAACCAATTAGCCATCATAAAGTAGAAACACCATAAGGCCCATAAGTTGGCCTTTCAAAACAGCACCATCCAGTGCTTCATTTTATCGTAAATGGCTGTTCGTATTCAAATTTTCGGGTTCCTTAACTCATTCTTCAAAATTATTTGAAACATGTTTCGAATATACGTACATAAACATACACATAAACTCTTTAACAGACACACACACACACACACACACACACACACACACACACACACACACACACACACACACACGCATTATACATTCACACATACATATACATTCACACATACATATACATTCACACATACATATATATTCACACATACATATATATTCACGGACAACTTGTTCAAACACATTAAAACAGTTTCTATATACATATAAAAAAGTTTACGTACTAGGCATACAAATAGGCATACATATATATATATATATATATATATACACACACGCATGTATAATACACACACGTATACACACATACACAGACAGACAAAAACACGCACGCAGGGATGCACAAAGTTGCACTACTAAACTAACTAATACTAATTGAAATGCGTCGACTGCAGTTGGTGTGGGGCTACAGTTGATTTGAATCAACTTGTTTCATTTTGGGCTGTTGATTGATGTGCTACAGACTAACTACATCATACGCATCACTATATCATTGTTTGTATCATTATCATCATTATCACATTATCATCATCATCATCATCATCATCATCATCATTGTTTATATCATTGTTTGTATCATTATCATCATTTTTGATATCATCATCGTCCGTATCATCAGATTTGCAGGCATTATCGTAATTGCCAATATCTTTATCATCATCATCATTATCAACATCATCATTATCATCATTAACGTTGTTATGATGATGATGATGAGAATGACGATGGTGATGACTGTGATATTTAAATAATATCATTGTAAGCCTAGCCAAACCAAACAACATATGTATGTAAATTCTTTGTATTGAAATTAAACAAATTGAACTTGCAAATTTGGACAAAAAATTGTGAAACCTCAATTTAGAATTTTCTCCATACAGTTTTTTTTAATTATTTATTTAAAATAGATAGAGAGATTTGCAATTGACCATCAACAAACATACAAACACACACCACACAAACACACCACACAAACACACCACATAAACACACAAACACACACACGCACGCACTCACAGCTAAAAACCAAGGGATTTATTTTTGACAATTAAAAAACCCAAGCAAAAAATCAACAACCTAACTCAAAACCACATCTCTATAACATTTACTATGACAGTTTTGTGACGAAGAAATCATTTGCATAATGAAACTTGAAAATGCGACAAATAAATCAACATACATACAAACATTCATACAAACATACATGCACAATTATCGCTCATCGGTAGCACATGCTGGCCGCATTTTGATTTGCTCCGTGTTTTTTCTTAATTTTATAGTTTAAAATCGAGTATTTAATTTAAATTTAATTTCATTTGATAGAGAAAATTTTGACGAATCTTATATTTTCTCCGTTTAAAAGTTTAATTTAGGGCTGTTTTTGCTGCTTTTTTTCGTTTCGGAATTTGCAATGCATTCAATGTTTTCAGTGCGAAAATAGTTTTCACATAAAATGTGTTGGTTTGAGTGATAGGCCTGATAGCAAGTTATCTGCCGAGATCAGCACATTCAAAAGTGATTTGAAATCTTCTTTTGCTACTGTTGTTGGTCAAGAAGTGAAGAAAAACATTTAGTGTCAATCTGGAAGTTAAAACGGTAAAAAGAAAATTAACTGAGTCAATCGATATAAAAGACAGAGAAAGAAATATAATAATTTTCAATTTACATGAAGGTGAAGATGATAAAATTCGTGTTAAAAATATTTTGTTAGAATTGTCTGATGATATAAAAGATTCCCATATAAAATATGTTACAAGACTTGGAAAGAAAAATGAATCATCCACACGTCCAATATTGATAGTGTTGGATAGTTTGATGTCTAAAGAGACCGTGATAAAAAATGCACACAAATTGAAATTAATATCGGTCGAACTGAGTAAAGTCTGGATTAGCAATGACCTGACACCTGAGCAGAGAAGTGAATTAAAGAAACTGGTAGCTGATGCAAAATCGAAAGAAGCGGCATGCAAAGACAATTTTTTATACAGAGTCAGAGGTCCTGTGGGAAGATGGCGGATTATGAAGTTCAGAAATTAACTGATGAGTGTCTTGTTGATGGGAGGGCCAGTCGGAGGATGATTCATGTTACAGCTCAAAAATTAACCATGAAAAATTACAATGGTTTAAAAATTGGCCTGGGGCTCCTCAACATAAGATCTATTGTGCCAAAATATGAAATGGTGTGTGATATAATTCGTGGAGAATTGGATATTCTTGTATTAATTGAGACATGGCATGGGTCGTCAGATGAGTTTGCTGTTCGATGCGCGATGCCCCCTGGTTATAAGTTTGTAGATTACGTTAGACCTCACGATCTATATCATGGCGGAATTATAATTTATTTCAAGAAAGAGTTCATTTATAAACCTGTTGAGTTACCCACCGTGATAACTTTTGAAGCTGTTGCAATTAAATTGAGAGTAAACAAATCTGATTTTATTTTGTTATCAATTTATAGACCTGGATCGGTTCCTCCTTCACCATCGTTCTTTTCAGAGCTAGCGAATGTTTTAGAAGATTTTTCGCTGTTAAGTGATAAAATCGTTGTTGCGGGAGATTTTAATGTTCATATGGAGAGAAAAGATGATCCAAACACAGTCTCATTTAATGATGTTTTCGATTGTTTTCAGTTGATTAACAGAATTAACGAACCAACGCATGAATTAGGTGGTGTTTTGGACTTGATCGTTACTTCTCGCTCTTTTCCTATCTTTAATAGTTTGATTTTTCCTCAGATCATGGATTAATCCAGGTTTGTTTGTCAATCAATCAAGTTATAGGTACGAGAAGTAAAAAAATGGTTCGATCCTGGCGACGCATAAATGAAGAAAATCTCGCATTGTTAATTTTGAAATCCCCGACTGGAGGGCCATGCCAAGATGATAATATAGTAAGATGCACGTTACTGAGATGACTTTTATTTGAAAAATTATAATATAAATTTTCTTACCTGCAACCACCAATTGAAACGGAATTGAATTCTTATGATCGAGTGGAATCCAGTGGAAAAGAATGGCAGTTATATCAAGACATATTCCCAACACTCAATACATACACACGCGCATACACAACACACCCACATGCACACACCATACAGGCATACTGAGTATATTTATCCTAATTGTAACTAACGATCTATTCAAATTGTGACTAATGATATACCTTTGTATAACTCCCTCAGTCATTTGTCGACATTTACATTGAATGTTTATTCTTTGAATTTTGAATGTTGTCACAGATTGTATATATATATTATTTTCAAAAAAAGAGAAAAGAGAAGGAAAAAGAGAGAGAGAGAAAGAGAGAGAGAGAAAGAGAGAGAGAGAGAGAGAGAGATTAAAACTTACAGATTTCGGCATAAAGAGATTAAACTTCGTAGATTAAAATGATGTTAGATTAAAATATAAAAATAAAATGCTTATTAAATTTTTAGAAAGGGAAAAAAATATATATATACATTTATTTTGTGTGTCTATGTGTGTGTGTTTGACTGTCTGTGTGTGAGTGCATTCAGTTGAAAAATACTTTTATTCAGCAAAATGCTGTTATATCAGTGTGTGTTTGTGTGTGTGCGCGCGTGTGTGCGCGCGCGTGTGTGTGCGTGTGTGCGCGTGCGTGTGTGTATGTGTGTGTGTTTTCTTATTTATTTTCTGTGATTTTTCTATTTCAAATTTAATTCACAGTTTTATTTCCGAGGGTTAAAAATTTAAAATTTAAAGTTTTTATTTTTACAGTGTTTTGGTTTGTCTTTTTTTCTTTATTTTATTTGTTTCTTTTTTGCATTTTGCAGAGCCAGTGCTAAAACAAATTTTATTTTTTCACTCTGAAATGTTGACGACGATGATGAGGAAGATGAGGAAATGAATATAGAGATGACGATGATGACAATGATGAGGAAGATGAGGAAATGAATATAAAGATGACGACGACGACGATGATGGTAAAATATGTAACCCAACTCCTGACAACCCACGGCCCAATCAAACGCTCCTTCCAACAATAATCAATCACAGGATCGTTCTAAGCATGAACAGTTCAACATAAACAGAAATTCCTTTTACACTTAGGTTTACTTCTAAGTTTTACACACACTGTCAATCTGGCTAAACATAAATAGAAATCTGTGCGTGTGTGTGTTGTGTGTGTGTTTGTATGTGTGTGTGTTCGTTCGTGTGAGTTTGCATGGATATATGTGAATTTAATTAAGTATACTTAAAATATAATAATGCCATCTTTGTTTATCCGAAACATTCAAGTCAATTTAAAACACACACATGCACGCACACACACACACACGCACGCACACACACAAGCACACACAAACACACACACAAGCACACTTACACAAACGGTAATTCAATGATATTTGTAAATGTATAATTTATTTAAAGTTGCAAGCGACGACATGTCATTTGTTTATTATGTGTGAAATTGCCACTTCATCATAATCTGGCATCTGATTTTTGAATGGTGATTCATCAAAATATTTTCAAAGTTTGTTTTTAATTCTTTCCTTTTTTTCATTTATTCATTCATTCATTCGTTTGTTCATTTTCATTTCTGACGTTTTTTCACTTTCTCATTCATTATAAGTTCGTTCGTTCGTTCGTTCGTTCGTTTGATTGTTTGTTATTTTTCTCCCACTCATTTTTTCAACGCTTTCAAATTTTACATTTATATTTATTTTCATCTTATCAATTCGAAACATTTTTTACTTTACTTCAATTTTAAATGAAATTATTTTTTTCTTGAAAAACCTTTTGTTAATTTAACTCAGTATCGAATATTTATAAATTTGACTAGCACACATCTCGTGGGAATGTATGAAATTTTCAAAAAAATTTCATTTGTACCCCTTCGATTCTTACATCAACATCTCACTTTGACCACATCACTCACAACAACACCTACCACAACCACATCAACGACACCACACTATATACCAGCCACAATGGGACTTACAACTATGTTGAATGTTATCGAATCTTCAATATTTTTTTATTCCACGGTCTGACTACAATCCCATCAACCGCAACCACATCAACCACAGCCACTCCAACACCAGCTGCTATCTCATTGAAGCTACAACAACCAGTGGCAACAGCCACGTCACAAATGACGTCACAGACGGGGTCACAGATGGGGTCAGAAACGAACTTGAGGGGTATTCAGCCCTGCTGGTTGTCATGCGTTAGGTATTTTGAAGATTTCCTAGAAACGAGTTCCCTGCAGAAGAAACATTTACTCGAAGGTCAAGATGTCGAGGTCATAAGGTCACTTTGTAGGTCAGTAGGTCATGACGCTCTTTCAAGAGATGGAATATTATTTATTGAATAATTTAACATTTATATTTATTTTATTGTTTTTACTTATTTCATGCACACACATTTGGCAAGCGTACAAACACGTTTAAGTAACAAATATTTATAGCGAAATACTTTAAATTTTATCTTACGTTCTCGAAATGATAAATGTAATCCTCTATTTTTGGGCTTCTAGTATTGTAAACTTACTAAAAATGCAATTTTCCCCTACATACAAAATCATTTAAATAAGGTTTTTTTCATTTAAAGGCCATTCTTTGTACTGATTTTTGTTTATATGACATGATAGTTTGAAAAAAATGTACATTAATGATTGATTGATTGATTGATCAATTTTTTTTCTGTTTAGCGGTTTAAAAAAGTCACTACACTGCCTTGCCGAGTTGAGAAAGGTTTGCTCTGCTGACGATTTTGATGAAATCTTCTGGAAGATGAAGGACTTTAGAAATTTAGTCAACTTCTGCTCTTTAAAGAATATTTTCGAAGGTGTGTCACTCAATTATCTCTCAGTACTGTTTCATTTACTTGTGTTACGTTCTATACATTCATTCGTTCGTTCGTTCGTTCGTTTGTTTGTTCGTTCGTTCGTTCGTTCGTTCATTCGTTCATTCATTCATTCATTCATTCATTCATTCATTCATTCATTCATTCATTCATTCATTCATTCATTCATTCATTCATTCATTCATTCATTCATTCATTCATTCATTCATTCATTCATTCATTCATTCATTCATTCATTCATTCATTCATTCATTCATTCATTCATTCATTCCACTCTTTCGTTCATTCATTCATTCACAATTATTTTCATGAACTTCATCACCAGAGTAAACATCATTATCCACTCATTATTATCGTCGACATCATTATCTCCATGTACATGTTCATCATCAGAACGTTGTAGAAATTCAAAATTCAGCTATCTATACTAGCACACAATAAATACAAATTATGTTGATACAAATACAAATAATATTTCATTATTATAACTTTTATTATTCCAAATAATTTTGTTGTTGTTGTTGTAATTTGAATGAAAAAAAATTCAAATTTCCATCCCAAACAAGACTACGCTCTCAGCCAGACATGCCTCAGAACACAGTCTGCTCAATCGACGACTTGCTACGATGAATTTCTACAGGAGACAGGCGGAGACACTGAAGATGTTGGCGAGAGTGTCGAAAAGGACGACGACGACGATGATGATAAAGATGATGATGAGGGTGACGATGGTGATGATGTGGCTGACGGAGGTTACAATGGCTACAGTTATCATTCCAGTGACAGTCCTGACGTTGGCGAATATTGCCGGTTTAACTGGAATAATATTTTCAATTTGTTCTTATTTTAATTATATCTGATATAGTAATATTATTATTTCAAATATAAGTTATTTTATGATAATTGGCAAAATTTTATCAAATTATTCTCCAGACACGCCATAACTTTTGAAAAATGTCTAGACGATCATGTGACCACCAAATGCGGGCAGACTTCCGCCCCCATAGTTTCCGCCCTGGCTGACCTGGTGGTGAGGAGGTCATCACAGTGCAAGTTTTACAATGCCACTTCCGGCTTTTTCGTCTACAATAACAGTTTTGAAAATTACGAAAATCACAATGGCATCGACGGGCCAGAGACGAACGCCGCAAAACTCAGTAGAAGAGTAATGACCGATAAATCAGTTGGATCTTTATAAATAATCGTTTGCTTATATTTTTTTTCTCTTTAGTAACTTTCTCTTTCTCTCTCTCTCTTTCTCTCTTTTTCTCTTTCTATCTCTTCCTCTCTTTTTCTCTCTCTCTCTTTCTCTCTCTCACTTTTCCTCTCCTTCTTACTTTTTTTATAAATTAATTTTATTTATTTATTAACAAACAAATTTAACAATTTTCTTACTCACAGGTCAAATCAGCCTCAGTACTCACCAGTGTTAACCTTTCAGCCCCGCCATTTTGCTGCTACCTTATAGTTAAAATATTTAATATCATTTTCGGCGAATTATTTCATTTCTATTAAATTCCTGATTTTATAAACATTGATATTGCTATTGTCATTGATATTGTTATTATTATTATTGTTGTTATTGTTATTATTATTATTATTATTATTATTATTGTTATTATTATTATTATTATTATCGCCATACTTCAAAATAACAAAATTGAGATTCTAGAATTAACTATGTGCCATGAAACCAATCTAGAATCTTCCAGGCAATACAAGAGAAATAAATACTCTAATAATTTGCATTGCTGTTTAAATAAAGACTATGAACATTGTTCAATAGTTATTAACTCATTCGAAATAACGCCTATTGGTTTTTTCAATAATTTTAATTGTCACTGTTTAAAGTTCCATGGGCGCTATCATTTAATGATAAATTGATAAACACTGTTATAAGATTATCGTATGACATTTACTGTGACAGGAACAAGCTATGATGCTAATTAAATATATTTCACCGTTCTGCACTTAACTTCACAATGAGCAAAATGGTCTTAACCTTTAATATTATTTTATACAATTTTTAAAAATTTTATCATTATATATATATATATTTTTATCTATATATATATATATTTTTATCATTGTCTGTTTTTTTATGGTGAAAAATAAAAGATGTTCCCATTATTATTTTTATTATTATTATTATCTCCATCGTCATCGTCGTCGTCATCATCATTAGAAAATTGGTTTATTGATTTTTAAATTTGAAAATGTGTTTTTTTACCCGCTGGAGTATATATATCGCTTGAGTCCAGTTCATATTAATAAATCCTTTTTACACCCTTTCCATCCTTTACATCCTTTTTCCTTGAATGAGCGAGTGAGTGAGTGAGTGAACGAACGAACGGATGAACGAACGGATGAACAGATTAGAAATTGATGAACTAAGGAATAAATGATTTGATGAATGAGTTAGAAAATTGTGTACATGCTATGTTTTATCACGTACGGGCTTTCATCTGTTAGCTAAAATGAGTAACTATTGAATTGATCAACTCTATCATTGAAATTTGAAAAATTTATTTTTGTTTCAATTATTTGTTAAAAGATTTTTTCCATATTATTTTTTAAAAAATCAGAATCTTTAAAAAAATTAGAATCTGACGAACGCAGAACCTGTTACAGCATGCAATGCAATGGTATAAAATGATAATGAAAAATAAATAACCAGAAAATATATTTTAGCATAAAAATTATGGAAAAAAATAAATTAATAGTTTTAAAGTTTAAAGACAGATAAATAAAATAATTTATTAATAGACTTAGAAAGTTAGTTACGTGATCGATATGAAGAAGAAGAACTAGATTGAGTAAATGATAAGGTTTTACTGAGTGCTGATATATTTAATGTGTCTTGTGGGGCTCTTATCCTGGTATGTTGATTGGGTGGCGACTTGATAGTTATGCTTACGCTGACGAAGGTTGTGTGTTTTAGTTTCGATTGGTGCTAGTAGAGCATGGACGATGTGGACGGTAGGATATGATGCAGGTAGATAGTTGAGGCGAATTAGTTTTTTGATGAGAGATTGTAGTTGCTGAAGTTGTTGTTGTGTAGGAAAACTAGACCATTGATGATGTGATTAGAGCTATGAAAAGTTTTGGGAGTAGAAGCATTGATGATAAAGGTAAATGGTCCAAGGACAGAACCTTGAACTACACTAGAATTAATAGGTAGAGTAGATGAAAGAAAATTTATTATATTATTGTGAATGTCACCATAAAGTAAATAGTGCTTATCAACTTTTTCTCAATAGTTTTCTAAACTGCTTCAACAACTACCGTACAGCAACTACCGTCTACTTGCATCTGGAAAAAAAAATAAATGTGTGAGTGTGTGTGTGTGCGTGTGCGTGTGTGTGTGTGTGTGTGTGTGTGTGTGTGTGTGAGTGTGTAGGAATATGAAAAAATGCGTGTTTAATGATTCATTATCTATATTTCGTTAACATTACTCCACAGAATTTGGTTAAATTTTCATGTTTTTTTTTCTGTCACTGTCCTCACAGACATCCTGTGCTTTAAATTTGTTTTTGGTCAAATAAAAAAAATAAATAAATAATGTAGTCAGGTGGAGGAAGAGAGGCTAAATTATTTGGAATTGGGAAATGTTTAGGAGTGTCAAAAGCTTTATTGAAATATTGTAAATGTTTTCAGGAATTTCTAGCGTTGGATAGTTTCCATCACATTTCCCATTATTTCTAACCAAATTCTCGTCTCCGATTTGTGATTCAAATTTAATTCGTAAAAAATTTTGTTTCAATCAACATATTTAAATGATATTAAAATTTGCATGGAAACATCTGTCCGAATGCAAAATGTTCTGCGTATCTCGACAACACAACGTCACAAATTTATTCAAAATGTTTATTTATGCCTTCTCATTCTCTGTGCCATTGTTTAAATCTTTGTGCGTGTGTGTGTGTGTGTGTGTGTGTGTGTGTATGTGTGTGTGTGAGTGTGTGTTAAACAAATTGAAACAGGTGGTAGAAACGTTGTGAACTGAATATTTAAAACTTTCTAATTTGAATTTTCAATCAATTCCCTTTCGCGTTATACCATCGTGCTGCCCATTACTATTGTATTATTGTTGTTTAAAGAGTGTATTTATACAAAATTAAAAAAATTAAACTTTTGAATGCTTGCAGTTGAAATTATAAACATTTAATCTATTGAACCGGAACAAACTATACATTAGAATGGATTATGTTAATATCTAAAAAATATTTTTGGAATTTGAAGTAGAATTAAAATTGGAGATAAATAAATAACCGAGATAATCATTCTTGAAGTTTCAAACACACGGTGGATATGAAATTACGATTAATTACGTTAATAATTAAAAACACTAATTAAATTAATACAAATAGCTCTGTTACCAATAAAAACGTCATAGAAAAACAAAGAATAACACAGTGTAACACAAAATATCACAGAATAAAACTTAAACGAAACTCAAAAATTCAAGCTCACCCACGTACAAAAATTATTTCAACTCCGGCTCGTCTAAACAAGTCAAATATCACGTATTCAACTTAAAATGCATTTGCATTTATTGAACTACGAAAAAATTTAACTAAAACATTTAAAAAATTTAAAACAAATTCACCGACGTTGTTCACGCATATACAATCCTTCCCACATTCATTCAACACATCTACACGTCCATACATACAACGCATTTAAAATTTTAATCTAAATCTAAAATAGAAAAAATTTAACTAAAACATTTAAAAAATTTAAAACAAATTCACCGACGTTGTTCACGCATATACAATCCTTCCCACATTCATTCAACACATCTACACGTCCATACATACAACGCATCTAAAATTTTAATCTAAATCTAAAATAGAAAAAATTTAACTAAAACATTTAAAAAATTTAAAACAAATTCACCGACGTTGTTCACGCATATACAATCCTTCCCACATTCATTCAACACATCTACACGTCCATACATACAACGCATCTATTTAATCAGAGCATCGACGTGGCAACACTTTGAAAAAGAAGGTTCGCCAGACAAGTGTCAGTTTCCAAGTGTAAACTGGTGAAATAACCGTATTGACCAGAAGTCTCCAAACTCTACAGGTTAGAAAAAATTATTTTCTCGATAGCAATTACTGTAGAAGTCCGTTGGGCGGGTAGCCCGATTAAGCGACTTTGACCTTTTAAGAATATAAAATGTTTTTTAACTCTAGTAATTCATATAATTATAGTTATTCTAGAGCAGATATTATGTTCGTAGAAAATTTTACAAAAATTCATTCAACATGTTACAAATTCATAATTTAGTTTAATCCCTTCATTTAGATCACGTTTTTGGGAATAAATTTTTAACGTAACTTAACATTTTTCCTAGACACATACAGAGCATTCGATCGCTGCACGGCACAGTGGACGATGCACCCTCTATGAAACACGGCCTAGTTTATCATAAATGCGCTTTCGTGACAAATTTTAAAATTTGCTGCGACCCATTCAATAACCATCAAGTAGCACTCGACAGATAACACTTTATTTACGCTGCCAAATGTGTGTGTTCAATTAACTGAAATAAATGAGGCTTACAAAATAGAAATTGACTCCGATTTGATGTTTTGTGGTGGAAAAATTAATAAATTTAACAGATTTTTTTTAAATTTATTATCGAATTATTTATATTTTGATAATTTTGTTAAAAAAATTTCATTGTAAATCTTTTTACTGATAAATTATTTAACTCAATCCAATATTTTCTGTATAACAATTTATAACCTAATTCAAAACAATTCATTCAAATTAGACAAGAGAAATGAATTTGATTGCCTTGCAAACCATAGTAGCACTTCAATGTGAGTTTTCATGTTTTTAAGTTAAGCTGAATAATTTTTTTTCAAATTCGCTAATAAATTGCTGAATAACCACCAACACACACAACCCACAAACGCACAGGTGTCTCCGTGCAGCCGCTGATTTGCGCTGATTGTTACTTAGACATCCAGTTTGTAGATGGACTTTATGATTTTAATGACCCCTGTTTTGTTAGCCCTCCTACTATCGAGTGCAACCTTGAAAACGACGCTTGCCATTCTTATTTGTTTGTGAACAGGACAAGTTAGCATGAATATCTTTTTAATATTTTACAATAATTAACAGAATCGGGGTTTTGTATAATTTTAATAATCATCAATTTAGCAAAATTTCTTCAATTCTGGAGAAAATGCGGAGAAAAAGACAAAACAAGTTTTTCAACATCGGACTACGACAGTACAAGATTATGGGTTCATTTGGAGGGAGATAAAAGTAACTGTGGTAAACCAGATGAAATGTTCACTATTGGAGAACGCGTATCAGAAGAGGACAGAGGCTTTTATGAAGAAAATATCGTTAAAAATTGGAAAAATTCCAGCTGCGTTGATAAATCTATCAGTGATGATAAAAATGATGGTGAAGATGATCGTGAAAAAACTAATCCGCAAGTTGATCCTGAAGTTCACCCCGATAGTCATCCCGGGAGTGAGCAGGAAGTTGGTGGTCAAAATGTTGGTGAGAATAATTCAACTGAGACTACAGATTGTGAGAAACCTGATGAAAATTCCGGAGATGACAGCCAACAGCCATTCAAGGCAACGACCAAGGTCAATAATGAAGAAGAGGACTGAGGATTTGAGTTTAGGATTGCTGGCTAACTGGGTAATGACCATAATGAGCATAAACTTTTCGTTACCTTTGTTTATAATTTATTGAAAATTTTATTGAAATATATTGTTTTATTTACGGTTACGGTATTAAATGTCTAAAATTTTTGTCAAAAGCTTTGCCTTTTTCTAATTAGTGTTTATTTGTTGAAAAATATGATAAACCTCTAAAAATATAAATTTTTAAAGATCGCATAGATATCTTAATAATTATTCTAGCGCTTCTTATATGGTCACAATTGAAACAGACTTCATACTGACATTTACTTGTAAAAAAATTAAATTTTTTTCTAGACAGTCAGCTTCCTTCAAACATTCTTTTTAAACATAAAAAACTATGTTTAAAAACATGAACAAAGCCAAGTTCAATCAATAAATATTACACTCTAAAATTACAAAATGAAGTGTTTAACCAACGAAGCCCATGAAAAAGTACGTCACATCCCTAACTGCCCTGTTTGCATCCAGATTTCGTATCTTCTGGCACAACTTAGCAAACAAATTTTAATTCTTATTATTGATGCATATCTGATCGTTTTAAAGAGGATAGTGGGGTTCCACAGGTAAATGTTCTGGGTCTTGTGATGTTTTTTATTTATGCGAATGTTTTTTTTTATATTTGTAAATTGGATTCCGCTATTGGCCTTTATATGTATGGTGATGATGCTAAGATAATTAAACATGTTTCATGTAGGATGGTTCTACAAGCTTGTTGAATGATTCGAATGAGTGGAGTTTGAAATGGGAACTGAAAATGAATGTTGATAAATGTATCTTTATGTATTTTAGTAATGACTTTGTTAACGCATGAAGAACACAATAAAAGATATATAGATAATATATCTGTAACATTTTAAGTGGTTCTGCGTATGTCAGAGCTGCAATAATAAAGACTAAAAAAAACTTCTTATAAAATCAACTGTTTTGCTCTGGAAAATGTGAAAGCTGTTAAAGACTTAGGTGTCATGTTCGAATGTTATATAAACTTTCATAAACATGTCAATATAACAATAAATAAATGCAACTCAGTTTTAGGCTTGATTAATAGCACTGTTGTTTAGTTTCCATTGATGTGAGGTGATGAGGTGATTGTAAAGATGAGATTGTTTTGGTATGCGTGAGAACTAAGGTAACGTTGGTCGTTAATTATGGGTGAAAGTTAATTGCTTGGTGGTTCTGTAGTATGAGTGTTGTCTGTACTTGCGTAAATGTTTGTTTTTATTTGTTTCCCGACTTGTTAATGAAGATTTCTAGAGGTATTTTTTGTCTATTTTTAACGATGGAAGTTTTGTTGCTAATTTTATAGTAATTTTAGTGTTGGGGAAACAGAGGCAGGGAGAAAATGTTCGAATAATTCAAGTTAATACAATTGAAAACTACATCGTTTCTCAAAATTTGGTCCTAATTATTAGATTCAGAAAATTTGTTTTAGAATAAATTAATAAATTAAGTCCTTCTATGATTTCTTATTTCGATAACCACGGCCAGACATACCAATAGACAAATGAGACAAACGGCCGAATTACCATAACTGCAAACGCCAGAATGATTGCATCGAATCTGGTTGAGTTGTTTGCCAATTAAAAGAATAATTTAAAAAGGAAATAGTAGGTACAATGCTATCTACATATGCGTGTTTGTATCATTCTTGTAGACAATTTTTATGGCTAATAATAGAAAAATCAAAATTTTGATTTGTTTATTGGTAGGTCTGATAATTAAATCCATTGAAGTAGTACATCAAACTGCCCACTACGCATATTTATAGTGGACAGAAATTAATAAAAACTGTTCAGTATAGTTGCTTAAGTTCAATTTGAAGAAAAAAATTGATATAAAAAACGACTGTCCCCCAACTAGTGTAGCTTTAGGTTCACTATTTAAAAAGTCTATGGGCCTAAATATGAAGTTTTGGACGGAAGCTGCTGAGCGTAACTCAGAAAAAACATTTTTCTTAATACTAAATATACCAGGCAAATCTTCTAGCTTTAAAACTGCATGTGTAGTAAACATTTATTCCTCCACGTCGAGGATCATGCGGGCGTAAGTAATCTTCATAATCGAAACTCTGAGGCATCTTAAAAAACTTGCATTGGAAACAAAAAATAAAGAGTCAACCGATCCTGATTTTCATATCGGGTCAAAGGTTCAGTTGGTCATTAGAAGGTAATAAAGTACTCAAGGCAAAAACCCAGTCAGCTATAAATGTGGGCTAATTTAACATTAGGCCAATAAGGTCTAAATTTGATATTGTTTATAATTTGCTTACTGATGGTATGGCTCTTTTAAACATATGTTTCAGGTAACCCAAAACTTACACAGTTTGTTTTTCTGAATACTTCCAACGAAGGTTTTGAACTGCTATCTCAAATTCAAAAAATTTGCATATGTGTTGTTTTGAAAACATCTGTTCAATAAAATTTCGGCCGGAATGTCACGCCTCAGTTTTGAATAAGCTGGTGAGGTTGAGGTAGTTAATTGCGTCGATTGACTTTTTAACTTTAATTCAATATAATTTAATTTTCAGTTTTTTCAACATAACTGAAACAAAACTCGAAAAATTTGTAAATTTTTTTTGTAAATACTTTTCCTTCATTTTTTTGACTCATAAAAGTTGTAAAGTTGTTATAAACTGCAAAATGTTTTATCTGCTAGATTAAAACTCTGCAAAAACGTGCGCTTCTCGATGTAAATGTAATTTGTCTGAGTCGAAAAAGAAGAAACTAATATGACGAATATGAAGAAAGCATGAAACTATTTTTTCATTTCTGGCATAAACTAAACTAGTTTTATTTTTTCGGTAAATGATACATTTTAACCGATTTTGTGATACTACTTACGAAGGGTTCAGATACAGATCTATGCACAATGTCTGATTACCTACTCCAGTGCACTGCTGCAGTTTTTTATCATTTGTTCATAATTTACAAAATTGTTCAACACTTTTCTCAAAAAGCCTCTGCCTGTCTTAATTTCCCATTCGCGATTTTCATCAATTTCAGGTTTAGCCATATTTCGTAGTACCTAAGTTGTTTGTCCAGGTGTAATTTTGCTACATTTTCATGTATGAGCCTCACTTCAATTTTAATAAAAGATAGTCATGAATTATTTAAAAAAAAATTTTTTATTATGGAATCAAAAAAAATTAATAATAATAATTATATGAAATATTATCGGAGACCAGCCCCACCTACAGACCCAAAAAATAAATTCTGTTCAGTTCTAATTACATTATAAGGCTGTTAGTGGCTTGAGCAAAGTACATTTGAACGTTTATGCATAATATTTAAAAAATGGAAATATTATATAGAAAAACAAGTTATAATTCAGTAAAAATATTTTTCAAATAAAAATGAGTAAAAATATGAAATCACATTTTGTGGAAACAATAAAATATTTAAGTTACAAAAAATATCAAAGAATGAGATGCAGTGTCAAAATTATTTTACAAAACAAGATGTGAGATATCACATGAGTTGTCAGGAAGGAGTGAACCTGAGTTCATCACACATGTACATAACAGAGTTCAAAATATAGTAAACCTAATTGAAGTTGCGGTCCATTTTGGAAAAATTTTTTAGACATGTAAAAGTCATTCAAATATTTACAATTAAACATCTAATAAATATTCGTATAAAATCACGAACAAGCAGCACTTATATATATTTGTACACAAATACATGCCAGTGCATGCAACCAGCCAATCAAATCATGTTTTCACATTAGCATGTTTGACGTCACAGCAGTTCATCAGCAAAGACGGGTTTTGTTTCATTGGCGGGTGACGGTATTTTTTCACATCCTGAAATCTCCTCATCTTTTTCCATGGAATCATGTTCAGTTGTAGATTTTATTTTGCTGTCGCTTTTTACTCCGATATTTTTATTGGCCTTTTTAATCTTAGCTAGATGTTCGAACTGGTACACAAGTCGTTGTCCAGGTATGCGACTAAGGATCCCTCGGGTGTAGTAGTACCTCAGTGCTCTACCCATAGTTTCGTAACTCATTGAGGACTTACCCTTGCACTGCCCCCACATGGAAGCAACTATTTTGGTGTTGTTCAGTCTGAAGATGCCGTCTGATTTGTCCACCCAGCTGATGAAGGATGGAGAGTATTTGGGATTGTCGAGGAGGTCAAGAAGGAATTCCCAAAGGTAGTTTGTTGTCTGACCTTTGTGTGATAGTTTTGAACGTTTCAATGTTGAAGAGGGTGATGGTGGTGAAGTTGATGTGTTGTTTGGATTGTCTTCATTTTTCATGCCGTTAAGCGTTTTGCTATTGATGTCATTTGTTGTTGTATTGATAATGTCATTTTTGCTATTTTCGTTTTTAATGTCAAAAATATTTATCAAATTTTTGGAATTTTCATCATTTTTTGGTGAGATTGGCGAGTAATTATACTCAGCTCTTTTTTCTACTTTCAGCGGGCTCTCAAGAAGATTTTCATCTAATTCATTTTTCATTTGTTTCGCTTGCTGTAGAGCTTGATAGTACAAGATGCGCTGTTGAATTGTCTGTTCGTTTATTTGTTTATGTAACGGCTGTTCACGTTGTTGTTGTTCCTGAAGTTTTTGTTGTTCTTGAATATACTGCTTTTGGCTGAGAAGATTATTCAGTAGAAGTTGGTTGTAATACTGGGAGATCATTTGATGATGCAGCAAGTACTGCTGGTGCAGCTGCTGATGGTTTTGCTGTTGCTGGGCATAATTTTGTAAACGATGTCGAAACAGTTGTTGATGTTGTTGTTGTTGTTGGTACCTTTGTAAATATTGTTGTTGTTCTTCTTGTTGACATAATTTTTGATGTTGCGTTTGTTGCAGATGTAACAATTGTTGTTGTCGTTGCTGAAGCAGATATGCCTTAATCAATTCATCTTTGACGTTTTCATTTGGAACTGGTTTGTTCTCGCTTGCTGCTTTTTCAGTTAAATTTTTGATAGCAGTAATGCTCTGGTGCAGGTTAGAGTTGTTTTTTCGTATTTCGATATCTTCGAATATTTGATCGGTAGCCAGTATGACAGGCAAGGGAATTTTCGAAGATGAAGTTGAAACTGGAGAGGGTGGTGGCGATTGCAGAGGAGATATTTTTTCAGATGGGGTGATTTGAAATTTAGATGATTGCAGAGAATGGAATGAATTCGAATTGGCTGATGATGCATCTGATGTTTCTGGTGACGGAGATAAAGCTGACGATAAGGACGCTTGGAAAGATGCAGGAAATAGCATTGATGGAGATTGTTTTTGAGAAGAGTATATGGAAAAAGAGTTGAAAATTTGTGGGTTGCCGTAGAACCGATTCAAACTGTCACATTCCTGATCACTGTTGCAGTTGTTTGAGATTCTGAACGAGTTTGGTTCGAGTTTTCGTTGCTGTTCTGGAGATCTTAACAGTTGTTGTTGCATCAGTAAATCAGATAGCTGAAGGTTCGTTTGAGGTGGAAGTTGAACTTGTGATGGAAGATGTTGTGAGAATGTAAGTTGAGGCTGTTCATCGTCTTTTTCACTTTTAGGCTTGTTGTCGTCCGTTGTCGAAGCTGTTTGTTTAAAAAAAATAACAAAATTTTATGGGATGTCGAGTAGAAGTTATGTTTGAAAAATGAAAATAAAAATTTTAAGCCATTTCATATGACGCTGCATTTTTATACAGTTTGATAAATTGAAAATTTAAAAATCCTTATTCGCTATAAAAATCTTTAATTCAATCATTTAAAAAGTTTCCGCACTTTTTTTCCTATCCAAATAGATTAAAAGTTTAATTTAACACCAACCGGTCTTGTATCTCTCCATGATTCTTTTCTTGTAGCCCTTCATTTTCCTACTGGACACGTGATAATCTTTCCCGACCCAGCCTCCCTCATCTTCGTTATCATCTTCCACCTCACATTTTGCACTAGCATCACACTCGCTGTCTCTTTTCTTCCGTTTCAGGATGCCTTCGACGCAGAGATCCGTGCCGGAAGTCTCTTTCTTCGACAGATCAAGAGGTGAGTCGTCGTTCTTCGAGAGTTGAATCATCGACCGGGCGTACTGTTGGCCCATTTGGTATTCGTGCAGCAGTCTGGGGTGGATCCCCATAGTGGTACTCCGTTCGTCGCTGCTCATATACGCTGATGTATTCCCATTCCACTCTTGACAGCCACACTCATCAAGTTTTAACGTGACCATGTTTTTTGAGATATTAAAAAAAAATGAATATAAATCAAGATAAATAAGCTATTAGTTTATATGAGTGGAAAAATTTTAAATTTTAGATTTTGTAAAATATCACAAACGATCAGTTGGTGTCTGGCTAAACTATAAGGACACCCTACTTTAAACTTCTCTATTTATACAGAGAAATTAATATGTTGAATATGCATATACAAATATGCCATATATTTATAGGCAATAAATGCAATATACATATTGATATATATGTATATCGTAAATAATATTATATAAGTATATATATATAAGTGTATATATATATATATATATATATATATATATATATATATATATTAGTGAAAATATATATAAACAATATGTACAAAAAATGTTTATAAAAGGTATATTAGTGAAAATATATATAAACAATATGTACAAAAAATGTTTATAAAAGGTATGGCTGTGATGTTATTTATAAGATATATGCCTATATATAGAATATATATATATATACAATGTATACTATACATGTATATTGGATATATGCCTATATTAATCAATTCATGTAAATAACTTATATATATATATATATATATATATACATATTAAAGTTGTTTGACACATGAATCATGAATACCGTGGTATGGTAATGGTTTGGTATTTTTTTAAAATTCGTAATAGAGCAGGAGGAGAGCTTTGGTTAAATTCCACGACTCACATTTGTTGGACGATGAATATTGCTAATTCGGAAAATTTCTGATTTGCAGGCGTGTGTGTGCGTGCGTGTTGACCAGCACGTGTGTGTGCGTGTTGGCCTACTTCAGAGCTGATTTTACAAGATACGATATTTTTATATTTATATTTTAGGTTTGATATTTTTAAAAAATCTGTAGTGTATGCGGCTAGTGTTATTTATGGATGGATGGATGAATGGATGAATGGATGGATGGATGGATGGATGGATGGATGGATGGATGGATGGATGGATGGATGGATGGATGGATGGACGGACAGACGGACGGACAAACGAACGAACGAATGAATGAATGAATGAATGAGTGAAAAACCTAGTGCTTGTATGTAAAATGAATGTATTGGTTGATGAATAATGGATGAATGAATGGAAGGACAAAACAAATTAAAAATATAAATAAAAAGTTTGTTAGATAGATAAATAGATAGATAGATGATAGAAAGACAAATCTTAAAAGGTAGAATTTTATGAATGAATGCATTTAGAGATGATGATAGCAGGCAGCTAGAGATAATTCTACCTACCTAGAAAAATTTCAGACCCAGTTGTGACTAATTGGGTAAGGCATCTCTTCTGCGGCAAGTTGTTAGCAGCAGATAATTAATTTCTCAGAAAATAAATGTGTAAAAATAATTACGGAAGTTGTCAGTTGCACTTGTTCATCAACAAACAGTCAAAAACAGTAAATCACCAGTTTTTCGCCTAACATATTATTATGACGTCATCGCTACGTCATTGAGTCACTAGAATGCTACACAGTGCGTTACGTACTGCTGACGTATTAATTTTTTTGTCATATCTTATTGGATGGAGAAATACATCAGTACAATAAAATAAAAATTTGAAAATAAAATTTTATTGAATAAACTCTCCCCTCAAACACTGACCAGACGTCCATATCAACCTCTACTCCTTCACTCCTTCACTCACTCCTTCACTCACTTACTCACTCCACTCCTTTACTCACTCACTCACTCACTCACTCACTCACTCACTCACTCTTTCACTCACTCACTCACTCACTCACTCACTCACTCACTCATTCATTCATTCATTCAATAATTTAAACATTCAATAATAATTCATAGATTCAATCGCTTGTTCATTCATACGTTCATTCACTCACTCATGCATTCATTCATTCATTCGTTTACTGACTCACTCAATTTCATCTATCCAATAATATTTTTTAACACTTCAAATCACACACACCAAACCAATCCTGTAATGTAATGGCTTTAAAGTTGGGAATCCTTCCTCTAAAAAAAATTTAAAATAAACTAAACTATTCTAAAAGTCTTCATATACGTATCTATGTGTGTATGTGTGTGTGTATGTGTGTGTTTTTACGTGTAAATAAGTGTTTGTTTGTGTGTTTGTATGTGCGTGCGTGCATATGTCTGTGTGTTTGTGTTTATAGGTAGACGTGTGTGTTAGGTAATGTCATTTCACTACAACTCACTGAACCAAATATTTGTTGTGTATGTGTGTATGCACGTGTATGTGTGTTTAAGTTTGAGTATGTGTGTGTGTGTGTATGTTTGTGTGTGTGTGTGCTTTGGAGTTTTGCAACATATATTGTATTCACCGATGTTTTCTGCCTGGGTTGTAAGTTCTTATCTGTTGGGCTAAATTGTTATAGTTGTTAAAAATTTTTATTGGCAGTAATCATTTAACTTATTTTACATATACGTATCGTTCAATATGTGATACATATATCTGTATATATTTGCATTCATTTATGTGTATATATATTGATCAACATACATAAACACACATACATTCATACACACATAAATGCATGAGTATGTATGTATACATACAACGTTTTTTTATTAATGCCATACATTTTTGTTTGCTGTTTAGAAAGTTTTTGTTTATCAAATTACTATTAAAATCCAATCTCAATGCAATCTTATGATTTTTTTTTTCATGTAATGTCCCACAGACTAATTTTCTTGTAACTGGCTAAAAATAATGAATCTGTGTGTGGTGTGTGTGTGTTTGTGTGTGTTTGCGTGTGTTTGCGTGTGTGTGTGTGTGGGAGGTGTGTGTGTGTGTGTGTGAGTGCAAATCTAAAATTTAAATATAAATGAAAAATATAATAAATTTCCCAGACAAATTTTATGGAAAGTCACAAATTTGGTGACCTGTAAACAGACACTGATAATTTGGTTGAAAAGGTTTAAAAAACTTTACTTCATTGGTATTTCCGAATTAGTGAAACGTTCTGAAACCCGATAACTGTGGTTTATTTGAAATT